TATTTAAACAAATGCATATGATTAACTGTTACTGCTAAAGACACTAAGGGTTTTCATCAAACAGCTGTCATCACCATAAAAGTTCCCCTCTTCCATGGAGTCAGTCAGCACTTCCTTACTGGGGCCCACATAGTACACATTTCAAAGGGGCCCCTAAATTTCAAAGCAACCTAAAAGGCATGGATATCACTGCTTCCCTTCCCTACCAGCAAAAAAAAAAAAAACCCTGGGAATGTTTCCACTTTAGGTTTTATTTTCAGCTATGCTTTAATGTCATTGAAACATATCAAAACAAAAATGGAAGAATTTCCTTGAAAGCCTTCCACAGTAGAATCTTATATATAAAAAAAAATTACACTTACATATATTTATATATATGGGTCTAGTTTTTAAAATATTAATCTGGCCATTTCATTCATTCACCAGTATTTGCAGAGTGCTTATTCTAAGAGCTGGAGATAGAGTGGTAACAAACAGCCTATATCCCTGTTCTTGGGGGGCTTCCATCATAGGGAGGCAGAGACAGACAAGCAAATAAATAAATATATAATAGCGCAGTGGTATTAAGAGCGGGGGTGTTGAGAGCTGATGAACCAAAAAAAGCAGAGTAAAAGGGACAGAAAGTACTGGAAGGTGCTATTTTATCTCTGGTGGTTGGAGAGGGTCTCTCTGAGAAAGTGACATCTGAGCAGAAACATGAAGAAAAATGTGGCTAAGAAAGCAAATATCTGGGCAAGGTGGGAGGGGGAGGACTCCAGGCAGGAGGAACAGTAAGCACAAAGGCCCAGGGTGGGGGCTTTCTTGGAAGCTTTGTGTAAAGCAGGAAGACCAGGACGGCCGGAGTGGACGAGTGTATGGAGAACGGCAGCAAATGAGCTCAGGGCAGGGCGGCAGCCGGGGCCCAGATCGGATGAGGACCTTAGAGGTGATGGTGAGGATTTGGGATATATTCAGAATGAAACGGTAGCAGAAGAGTGACAGGATCTGATTATGTTTCAAAAAGATCCTTCTCGCTGCCCGGTGGAGAACAGACCAAGGCAGAGGGTTGGCAATGTGGAGTGGCAAGAGCAGTCAGGAAGCTTCTGCGCTGAGCTCAGGGAGAGAAGGCGGCAGTGGTGACGAGCAGTGAGGGCGGAGGTGGGCACAAGCAGTCAGATTCTGGGTACATTTTTCCTGGCACAGCTGACAAGATTCGTTAACGCATTGGATGTGGGGTGTGAGTAAACGACAAGCATGCAGGATGACTCCCAAGGGTTTGACTTCAGACCCTAGAAAGTTGCCAACTGCCACGTAGCAAGTGGGAAGCCCGAAAGCCTGGCAGAATTGGGGGGCGAGGGGCGTGGGGAGTGGGGAGATGGTTTGAGGAATATCAGGTCTGATACATCACTAATCATTTGAATACAGACATAAGGTGCCAAGTGATAGAATGTGCCTTGCTTCACTTAAAATAAATGAAATTAGAATACTCCCAAGTATCCTAAAATCTTTTCAGATATCTTGTGGGTAAACCATCCCTTGTGTTTGTGATAAAACTTATTGGTACATCTTTACTTTTGCTTCACACTTCAATATCTATTTTCCAAATTAGGAAATGTCACTAAAGACAGGGCATCTTGGCCTCGTAACAGGAAACTGAGAATGACAGAAGTTTATAAATGCCTCCAAAGAGTCAGCTTTTCTTACAAGGCATTATCTGAGTTACCGAGACCCCTCCCTTCCCGCCAAAAATCTCCCACCACCTTCCACGCAGTCTGAAATTCTCCATTTTAAATAGTGTAATTATTCCCTCTTAACCATGTGTTACTCTTACTCAAATTCTAATAGAAATGCAAGTGTATACATATATATATATACACACACACACTTTCTTTCAATGGAGATATTTTCTCATTCAATTTGGCATAGTATAGGGTCCTCTTGTTAGAAATAATTAGAAAACAGAAGGAGCTGTGGCTTGAGAAGAGGAAAAAGAGCTGAACCAACAGCAGAGGGTTTTTACAATGCAGCCTTGGAGGAGAGAATGGAATTGGAGACAAGCAAACCTGGACTTCATCTGTTGGTGCAGAGGGAGCCGAGAAATCTTCAGGAGGGGTCTCCGAATTCTCCTTCTCTGCAGAGATTCATTCAAGACCTTATCATCGACACAGAGGATGACTTCCACGTTCATCTCCACTGCAGCCTTCCCCTCTGAACTCTAACTGCCTATTTGATGCCTCCATTTGAATGTCTCATTGACACACCATTTCAGTGCTCTGTTCCATCAGAAACATTTTTTCTCCCAAAGCTCCCTTGGCCTAGTTAACTAGCATTTAGCATTAACATCTCAGCTCAAATCTTCCTTCCCTGACATCAAGGCCAGATGGAATTCCCCTGTTATACATCTTGTTGCCCCATGCCCTCCCTTCACAGCACTTACTCTGTTCGTAATTATATATTACTTGGGTAAGTATCTGCTTCATGTCAGGGTCCCCTCAGACTCTAAGCCCTTGGAGCAGATGCATGTCTCTTTGGCTCACTGCTATATGCACTGCCAGATCCGAGCTCTTGGCTGGTGTACAAAGAACAATCAATAAACATTTGGTGAATAAATGAATGAACGCTGTGTTGGTGTGTACAGACACGAAGTAAAAAGGTCACTGCTGAAGCAAAGACTCTAAGGTACACTGCATTTGGGAGAGACACCAACTCCAACGCTGGACTGAGGAAAGTTAAATAAGGTTGATCGAAATTTATTTTTGTATTTGTTTTGGGTTTTATTTATCTCATTAAGCATCAACATTATTGTGTACCTTGAGAACCACAGGGGACACTGAATGGAGAAATCAATAACGCCAAATCCAAAATAAAAAAATCTCAAGAAGTTACTGAACGCTTTGTTAGAGAACCAGACACAGAAAGGGGAGTTCCCTCATGTCTATCTTACCTACAAGAGAACAAAATTAGTTGGCAAACATTTCACTAGAACCACAGAGAAAGGAGATCTTTAAAAACTATCTACCAGGGTGGGATCTAAAAAAAAACAACAACATCAAACTCATAGAAACAGAGAGTAGAAAAGTGGTTACCAGGGGCTGGGGAGGATATGGATAGGGAAAGGTTGGTAAAAGGGTACAAACTTTCAGTTATAAGATGAATAAGGTCTGAGGATCTAATGTATAACATGGTGACTATGGTTGACAACACTGTATTGTAGAATTGAAATTTCCAAAGAGAGTAGAACTTAAATGTTCTTACCAAAAGAAAGATAAATATGCAAGGTGAAGGTGTAACCATGGGCCCTCCAGAACCAGTTCAACTGACCCCATCTTATCAACAGAGTAATTAAGAGTGGTTTTCCAGGAACTGAGAAAGGACCCCTTGTCCAGTACAGGCTGGTTGAGACCACCAACCCATCAACCAGGCCTGTGCAAATGACCAGTAAGTGACCCTTTTGACATCAAGGGGCTGAAAACTCCACCCTGAGATCATACCAACACCGATATTTGGAGAACATGCATCCTATGAAGAGCCGGAAGCTTGACTAGGCTTGCACAGATCATCAATTACCTCACTTTTCCTTACCTCCAATCATCCATCTCTGCACTTCAGACCACCCTGCCCTTTATCCCATAAATTTTGCCCCAAGCCCTGGATGGGGGAGACAGATTTGAGAGTGTTGCCTCCTGTCTCCTTGCAGATCAATCTTGCAATAAAGCTTTTTTCTTTTCTCAAAAGCTGATGCCGTAATAACTGGCTCTTTATGAGCATCAGGCAAGAGAACCCCAATTTTGTGTGGTAACAATGGATGTGTTCATTAACTAGATGGGTTAGTTAGTTCATGAACTAACTAATCCTTTTACAATGTATATGTTCATTACCTAACTAAACCTTTCACAATGTATATGTATATCAAATCATCACAAGGCACACTTTAAATATCTTACAATTTTATATGTCAATTATACCTCAATAAAGCTATAATTAAAAAAAAAAAACAACTTTCTACCAAGTTAGGCCAGTCTGAATATATAATCTAAGATGTATAGAATATAAGTGATTTTATTCTCACAAGCATTTTATTTTAATGAATGCAAAAAACAATTATACAATTACAAGAGCTTTCATAGTTTCATCAGGTCCTTAGTCACATTACTTTTTCCACCGAGATGTTAGGTTGCTCAACATCAAAATTTCCTACCTTGGGGATTTCAGCAATACGACCTTTGTGGTTGAAAAGGAAATTCAGTATTGCTTTTGTTCTTACATGCTTCAGTCTTCTGCCCTCTCCACTGCACTGAAATGCAATTGTAGTGGCAGGGCCGGAGGTGGCGGGGGCTGCACCTTATTCTTAACCTTTCATAACAGCTTTATCAGCAAGATTAGTTTAACATCCAAAACAATCTCAACTAAAAGTTCTAGACCTAATCCATCAGCTTGGATGTAGAAAAAAGGAGAAGGTAGAGGAAAAGGATGGTTATATAAAATACAAAGATGATGATTAACAATCAACAGTATCTTCCATTTTTTTAAAAAAAATCTCACATCACAAGGATCAAACCCAATTTCTTTTTGGCAAGATCTAACTCGGTCTGCAAATGTATATCAATATCTAAATACACACAAATTCAGGGCAACCTCTTAGCCACTCAAATGTAACTGTAAGACTGATTTTCCTTAATGGAAGTCAGACACAAACCCCACAGAACTCAGGTTTCCACTCTAGCTGCATATATCCATCACACACAACTCCTGTGGAAACAGATCACGCAGCAGATCCCAAGACCTTTTTGTCATTAAAGATCCCATTTGCAGTGAAACAAGTGAAGTAAGATGGGAAAACAAACATGCAAAAATGCAAATTAGTAGTTTAAGAAAAAAAGACTCAACTTTCTACACATAATGTAAAATTTTCAAATACACCAGGCTAAATGTTTGTGCAAAGGTGGAGAATGGGTTAAAGACACGCTTGTGATACATTTTTAAAAAATGACTTTGCTTTGAGAGTGGTTCGTGTTGGATACCTCCTTCATCAGACGGTCTTGTTGCCTCACTGCAGCAGGAAAAGCTAGGGTAAATCTCGGATATTTCTGATTTGTCATCTCCCAGACCTGTACCAAAAGTACTGCTCGAATGAGATCGAGACCGGTGTCTCCTATAGTGACTCGCCTTTTCTGGATCGGAGGGAAAATATTTATACTTGTGACTAAGTGACTTGAAGAGCAGAAGAAACAAAAAATTACTTAAAAGTTTAACAAGAAAGAAAAATAATCCCTATTCAATAATAATACACAAGCTCAGCTATTATAAATTCACCTATTGCCAAACTTCTGCATACATTGCATCCACTATATAAATGACTTAAAAATCATTTATACTCATTTTTTTAATCTAGATTTTAAAGGAGAGATGGAGGATGGGAAATTGACAAGAACTAAGAAAACATTGGCAAAGTAATAAATTTCTACCAAACATAACATCTGGTTATAAATAATTGTTTTCAAGTATCGCCAAGCATATAGTATCTGTTGCCTTTTCTTTATTTTTAGAAAATTAAATGACACGGTTTGCCTGATTATGTGGATCAAATTGACTATAAAAGTATTAGAATCCCTACTTTGCCTGGGGCATTCAATTTTATTAACGTCAACAATTACATCGAGAGTTGAAAGCACGGAGCAGAGCCAGACCTAAATGATATATCCACTTACATTGTTTAAAATAATTGCACAACTGTCCAAGCTCCAGTTTGCTAAACACAGTCTGAAAGGCTGAAATGTCAACTCATGCCATCACTACACCCAAATGCCCAAACCATTCTGTTTTTGCTTTTAATTATAAACATTCAGTCTAAGTTAAAAATCAAATAAACTTCCTATGTAAACTATAAATTTTGCCTTACATAAAAACTCAGAGAAATTTTAAGGATACTTGGAAGTCTATTTATTTTAAGACATTTAGATGCTCTATAGAAAACCTCTCCACTATTTTATATATAATTCTTTAAATCTACCTTTAAAATGTTGGAACCATGTTTCTCACGAAACAAATCTTTATGTCTTAGCACTTTAGTGCAATCCAACTAACTGCATTTTTAAGCCCAGAAAACCAATAAAATCATATTCACTAATATAAAGCAGATAAGTAAGCTCTAGATGCCTTTTTTAAAATGAATCTAGAACAAACTAATCTGGGCTATATTAAAAAGCCCTTTTGCAACTTTTGTTTTCATAAATGATTAATGGTATTCTAAAGCAGCATAGCACTTTTTTTGGTTTTTTGAATCCTCAACTTTAAAACTGACATTACACTGTTGGCACAATGAACCTGTACAGCTCAGAGTAGCTTCACTTTCAGGACAAAACCACATAAATGGAGAGAAACTCAAAACGTAAGCAATACCAGAGAGCATATGTAGACTTCTAGACTGAATATTGTCTTCCAGGGGATCAATGTCGAAGATGGAGCCAGGATCTGTGCGCCAAACTTTGAGGTCTTTTACCAAAAGGAAGAAATCAACAAATAAAGAATGAATTTTTTAAACAGTCAGCACCAAAGAGAGTCAGCGAAAGTCTAGAAAAGGACATATGTAAAAAGCAAACATTTAAGAAGCCAACCCACTGTGCTACAGACCTCAAAGAAGAACGAGGGAATCTTAACGTTCCCAAGGATTTGTTAAGAAAACTTTATGATCACATTTAGGTGGCCTGGTTTACGCTTCATTGACCTTCCACGTAGCCTGTGACTCCTCACCCACCACACGTGCACACCAGACAACTCCCCGCACCCCTGAACCGCGATCACTCGTGCTCTCCACACGCTGAAACAGGGAAAATGTTTGCTTAAAACTCCTCATTAAGGACACGTGGGTAATTCATAGGAAACGACTGAGAGGTTTTTGTCTGAGAAAACAAAGCAAAGCAAACAAAAACTTCTCTCCCTATAACAGAAACAAATGTTTGAAATGTAGGCAAGTGGCAAACCCAGTTCTCATTCTGAGCTGGGAGATGCAAGCTAACCCACATAAGACACGTTGTTTTAGAAAAGAGCAATAAGGCAAGGCACCGAGCAAGGAATGAGGAGGGATGGAAAGAGGAACAAGGAGCAGCTTCCTACTCTCAGTGGACCACAGATTGGTCCAGTAAATGGACCACAGATGAGTCAGTAATCAGACTGTGCAAGCCAACTGATTCTCTTATTTTAGCTGGAGGCAAAATCCAAATCTAATAACTTTCGGATTCATTAGTCTCTCCAACTAATGGTTATCAGGTCCTAAAATGATCTATATAGTGCTGTATCAACAAAAGGAAAACAAAAACCTACTTGCAGACATGTGGTAGAAACGGAGCTTGAGTAAAAGCAATTAATTAGTAAACTGGAACCAGAGATCTGCTGTCTGTTTTTAATTAATATATGTAGCGCTTACCATACGCCAGCAGACTCTCAGTTATGATACAACTCATTTAAGCTTCATAATATATAAAAGTAGGTACTATAGTATCCCTATTTTATAGATGAGGAAACTGAGGCTGAAAGAGATTGAGTTAGTTTGGCCAAGGTTACACAACTAGTAAGTAGCAGAGCCTATAACCAAAATAGAAGCAGTAGAAATTGGCTTAGTCTGAATTACTCAGAAATTCTCTAAACCAGTATTTGCACGCCTGGCACAGAAGTTTAATGCTTGTTGAATGTACTTCATTTTGTGGTTGCATAGGCAAGTCCTCAACGAAAAACAGTTTCCCCCAATAAGAAGAGACAAACTGACTTCTGGATGGCCCAGGAAGTGAATAATTTAGAGTTATATATCTTATATTTTTTAAAAAATAATAATTTCTCTCTCAAAGGTAATGAGTACTGAATTGTGAGAGCTCCAAGTCTAGAGAATCTCACAGTTTCTAGCAAGGATCTCACCATCATTCCTGGCCCCTGATTTGGGTAGGACCCTGGGGCAAGCTGCACAGACTTCAGCATTTGCACCCTCGTGGGATGAATCAGACCCTGTGCACTAGCCCTTATGAGATGTTAATACACAGCAATGAAACTCTCTAATTCTGTGTAACTTGAGTTGAAGACATCACACACAACTCATCCATCCAACTTAATGTGATCCTTTTAAGCAATCAACTTGGGAAGATCAGCAAAGCTATCAACTGCCTGCAAATATGTCTGGAATCCCTCTTTGGAAAATACTTCCGGAGTCACTTTAGTAATCATCCAAGTAACTTAGTGCCATGACTTCAGTACCCTTGTTTCACACTAAGACATTACCCTGTCAAAGATACACTTTCCTCCCCAACTCACCTCTAAATGGCCTTTCGCTACTTCCAAAAAACAAGCTTTTACCTTTGAAGATGAAGATAATCTAACACTGAGATTACTGAGAGGCATGTTACCAAAAATATGATTTGAGCTATATAATTGGACTAGCTACAAAAATTCAGAGGCTAACTACTCTGAAGAAGACAATAGTCATTTAGAAGTATGGTTTGTTGATATATACTGAAAAATCAATAACTTTCCTTTCTAGCCCCACCTTAAACTTTGCTATGATCTTGCTGTCTCAGCCACCATTCAACACTATGTTCCTAGGATTTCTTCTGACTCACTAGAAGGAACAGGAGGAAGAGAACGTTCCTCCCTCGCTGATTTATGGCATTTTCAGACAGCTCTTGATTATCCCAGTTCAGAAATAATAGTCAAAAAAATATAAGCTATTCACATTATAGAGTATCATAGAATCTCTCTGGCATGTTTATGTGTGATAAAAGGACCTAACTGGGATTATTTCTGTTATTTCTGTCACCCATGCAGACGATATCTGCAGTACAATATATTGATCAAGTATACAAACTAAAGGAAACAAAATAATTGTCCAACCATTGTTATCACCTGTGTCTGATATTTGGGCTGCTTCTTTAACAAGTAGGAACATTCTTAAGACCAGAAAATTATTAAAGACAGACATTCTCTGTAGACATTCCAATAATCGAAAAGATTTGCAACAATACCTTGCAAACGCCATGAAGCCCATTCAACATGGTGCAAACAATGACACTGGCTGTGGTCCATTTTCAATTGGGCACCACGTCCAATATTTGAGGAGTCCGATGAATAAGGAGGCTAATTCTAAAGCTATGGCAAGCATGATCTTTTTGACTGTGCAGACCTGCTGAGAAGGACCATCAGCTTACCAACAATGATCCCAGGTCTCCTGTCCATCTCCACGATGTGAGGATGGACACCTTTATAGGCTGCATCACTGACAATCTGGGTGTTCTTCCTCACTCGCTCTGTCACAGGGTCATCCACGACAGGAGTAAAGCCTCTTCCCTTGGTCTTTTCAAAATCTTCATGATATTTTACCTGAAAAAAAAGGAAAAACAATATTAACCCAAACTGAAATGGTCTGATTGTTACGTAGCTCACAAAGTTTTGATATAATGACAGCTGTCACTGTGCCAGCTGGATCTAGATTATTTTCTACTTATATGCATCTTTTCCAATTATTCCAAAAATAATGTCTGAAACTTCAGCTTCCTAGCATCAGAAATCAAGTGCTGATATTTTCACAATGTTTTTCGTCATTACGGTTAGCAGCTCTCTTAAATTTTACATAAACCTGTATATCAGTAAGAAGTTTTAAAAGATATATTTTTTTAATCCTGGTTACTTCCTCAAATGTACTAACAGCTACAAATTAATTTCCTATTTCTTAACCTTTAATATGCAATGAAATGATAAGCAATTTCTACACAATTATTCAAGAAAACGGTATTATTTAAAATTAGATTGAGAGTTACAAATAATTATATATACAATTTTTTGTATATAATTACAAAAACTTGCATATACTTTAAAACATACACTTTCAGTGCTCTGAAATTGGATTAGGGTGATGATTGTACAACTCTATAAATTACATCAGAAACTACTGAATTGTACACTCTAAATGGTATTTCAACTTTATGGTATATAAATTATATCTCATGAAACTGTTTTAAAAAACATACTTTTTAAATATTCTTTGTAACATGCAAACACACCAAGCTCCACCTTAAAATTAATTGAAAAGAAGTCCAGGCAAATGTCTTTCACAAAATGCATTTATAGTAGTCACGTTAGAAATAAAATCACGCCCAAAAAAACCATTGAGAAAAATTACTTTATTAGACTAAATGTTTCCATTACATTTCAGTGTGATTACAAAGTCCCCCCAAAAGGATGGCCCATCGCATCTCCATGCTTTGTTAGTCATCCAGATTAATGGTGAACTAACGCCGTCGGTACACCGCGTGATGCCATTCCTTAGTATGTTTTAGTCATGAGAATGATCTGGTTGTACCCTACCATTGAAATATGATTTTGTGCTTCTTTGACATGTCTCAGAGCAGGTGTATCTAAAATCAGACTTGGTCTACCTTTCATCTGTTTATGGTCCTGGGTATATTTTACCTGCAAAGTAAACAGAACATACTTATAATAAGACAATTATAATAAAAACCATTACATAGCTTTTTCAAGTTTCCCAAATGAATGAAACACATACAACATTTTCTGAATTATGTCCCGGGTAACTTGTTCAGTGAATTGTGTTTAGTTCTACAATAACAATCTAAAATTTTACTGTCAAAGGTCTCCTTTAAAGGCTATAGCAAAAATGACCTAAAAGTATCATCTGAAAGTGTGAGAGTGACCAATATCCACTAATGATATAGGCAGTAAAACTGGTTATCATACTTAAATTAAACAAGGAAAGTCCAAAATTAAATGGAACCTATATTTATTTTTCTATTTCTACATTTCTCCATTTGCCGCCATAACACTGTTGAAGAATGCATACCGAACTTCCCTCTATTTCCTTCTATTTTTCCCCTCCATAGAAGATAAGAAACAATGGGGCTGGTTCCTTTTAAGCAGCCACAGCTTAAAGGTAATTTATGTTGACTACAGTCAGCATCTCTGGACAGAAATGCCAATAGAGATGTATCAACGGTAAAACCTAAATGCCAATCCCCAGGCATACAGCTCTTCTTGACAGCTGCCCATCAGCACACTATTTGTGAAGCCGATTATAAGATTAGGACAGCAATCATTGCAGACCTAAGGGCATATGTGCAGTTCAGAACTGAAGCCCTGATATTCACTAAGAGAAAGCATACTATCCAAATAAGACACTGATGTGCACCCTGGGATGTTAATGAGAAAATGATTTCTATATTAAATGTATTAAAAGATTTTTTTCCTCTAAGTCCTTACTTTGGAGTAATGACTCATTTCTTATTTTGTTTTGCAGAGAACATTTAACAATCCACATTCAATGGAATCCATCTGTAAAATGACAACTATTTAACTTACGCATCAAAGACTTTACCACTTTCAAAGACACTGGCTAAAATAACATGAATCATTGTTTAAATGAACATAATATAGTTTAAAAGTAAACTTTAAATGTAACTGTCAGTCACATCTGGAAATATCAATGAAGGGTTGCAGGATAATGTAAATTTATACAGTGGCAGCTTTTGGAAGTCATCTGAAATGACATGTGTATTTACTGCATAGATCACAAATGTTTCTTGAAAATAGATTTTATTTTCACAAGAAAAAACAGGACTGCAAGTAAATAATAAGGGACACATCCTCTGTGAGAGCCCAAAATGGATAAAACCACTTGCCGAACTAATATTTTCTTGATTCTTCTTTACTCTTTCCATTTCAGGAGTTACACTTAAAGCCGTGGCTCTTCCCAGCTGACCTTTATAATAAACCTATCATTTCAGAGAACAAAAAATAGAGTACTGTGAATCAATTCAACCAAATAAGAATCACAAAATATTTACTTTAAGGAGCTAGCTAAGGAAAGGACACTATGAAAAAAGAGGATGCTATCAGAGGTCTAGTCTTCTGTAAAATGCTTGCCTCTTAAATCAATCTGTTCTTTTTTTTTTTTTTGAGGAAGATTGGCCCTGCACTAACATCTGTTGCCAATCTTCCTCTTTTTTTTCCTTTTTCTCCCCAAAGCCTCAGTATATAGTTGTGTAGCATAGTTGTAGAGTTGTAGTTCTTCTATATGGGATGCCGCCTCAGCATGGCTTGATGAGCCGTGAGTAGGTCCACGGCCAGGATCCAAACTGGCAAACCCCGGGCCGCTGAAGCAGAATACATGAACTTAACCGCTATGCCACCAGGCCGGCCCCTCAATCTATTCTAATACATCCCATAGCAGGGATTATGTGTCCAAATCACTGTGAATAGACTCAAATATATGGGCCTATCCTCAGTAAAGCTGTGATGAGCATTTCATCACAAAGGAATATGATAAGAAATGTCTTCATGGATATCACTTAAAGGCACTCCTACCCATATAGAATTGTACTATACTCTTGTAGTTTCTTAACAATTAACCATGCAGAACTTTTGAAAGGATGCCTAAATAGGTGACCATAGTCATCCACAAAAAGGCCGGTGTGCTTCCCACTACTACGTTCCTCCTTCTCAGTAACCATGTTCCTTTTTCAGAGTAATGGAGTCACATCAAGTGTGATGCTAAATATAGTGGGGAAAAGATGAGCATCTACTTCTCCAAAATATAGTTACTAGGAAAAGTGCCAAACAATAACTGCGTTTGCTTTATAATCTGGTCAAACGACTTTAAAGTCCTGAAGAATAAAAGATTTCATTGAACCAAACAGATGTCCAAATTTCCTCTTCCTAAGAACCCAATCTGTATGTTAATGACTTCGAAAAAGGATTCTCTGGGTGAACTCCATCCGCAGATTACATAAACAGAAGGGAATCAGAGCAGCCGGGAGATGGTGTCTGAGTAAAAACTGACAGCCCCTTACCAAATGCCCCTAAAATGGGCCTGTCCCACGTGACCTATTCGGCTATGCACACTTTATAATTTCTCCCTAGACACTGTCCAAAAATAAAGTACTAATAGCTGGGAGAGGATTGGACAGGCTGAAAAACAAGAAATATACAGGCAGGAAAGGGAGTGGGAAAGCTTATTTGAAGAGCCAAGATGCCAGAAGCTACAGCTATGTCCCTCTGGGGAACCACAGCAACTAACAGCCTGAAGACAAGATAAGAGGGACACACAATAACCTGCGGCAAAATAGTACTGGCTGTCACCCAGGGACCCTGGAGCAGGGAACACCTGGCTGTACCCATAATACCTAAGACCCTGAAACCTTTCAAATAAATTGGTGGTCAATTCAGAGCAGAATATCAACTCAAGGTCATGAAAATTTTGTAAACACAATCCCTCACTGACATGTTGACAATACGTTTGCTGTCACAAGGAAAAAGTTACTAAGGAGGTCACACATTGCTGATGTTCTTCTGGTTCTCTTTAACTCTCTTCAGCTCTGGTGGATCAGAAATTGGGGTTGCCTGTTTCATCTCTCCTTTGTATTTTACCTGTGGAGGATAAATAAGAATTTTAATAGAAAGCAGAATGGTCTCCACCCAAACACCAGAGAGGATGAGCCTCAAAATTAACCCTATCTTTTTACACCTTTTTTTCCACAGTGGATATGCGTCCACCTTCTGGTTCACATTTACACCTGGATTCTGATTCATCCAACTTAGCCAGACAAAGCGTTGGTTGTGCTTCTTAAAAATGATTTTTTAATAAGTCCTTTGCTGTGCAATACCAAAACTAACTGCAAATTCCATGACTAAAAGTAATGGAAATGTAAGGGAGAAACGTTGGAACGAACTCCTTACAGAGAACTACAGCGAGGTCGCCATGGCAGCCTGGAAGGCCACTGACTCTCTTTCTGACCCTGGGCTTCTACCTTCAAAAAAAGCTCAAGATCCCTCATTCCCACCACCCTCCAGGGACAAAGCAATGTTCAGCCTGATTTTCTTCTCCACCTGGAAGAACCCACTCTTAATTTTAAAGTCTTTCAAAATTACCTGTTTTGGAAGAAGAAGGCTATTGTTTATATTGGTAAAAGTTCCATAAAAGGGTCAAAAAATGGGAAAAATGACCATTGTGGGGGACCTTTGAAAGAGATTTCTGAATTCGGGGGGCCTGGGTTCAAATCCCAGCTCTGTCCTTACAAACCGTGGGTGCCCAGCATGTCCTCTGACCTCCCCAAGACTCAGTGTCCCAGACCTACAAACCAGAGAAATGAATCGTGCTGACCTCACGGGTCCACATAAAGCATTTAGCACCACAGTAGAGGTGCCTCATGATTGTTAACTATCATTGCTTTCTTAGCTTTAGATTATTGAATGATTGAATAATGTCTTCTGTTTTATTTATAAGGTTTTCTACTCTGACATTATGTCTTTGAACTCCAGTCAAGCCAGGTCTTCTTTTGCCCTATTCCAATAGACATTTTTTTTCTCTGATTGACAACAGACCCACTACTCTCCAGGTCCTTACCTAGATGTAGTTGTAGAGATTTAGCACCTAAACTATGAGGTCCATGAGAATAGGAACTGGGTCTTCTCCATCTTGGTGTACCAGTGACCAGGATAATATCCGGCTCAATGAAGATTACTTGAATAAACAAACATGGCTAAATTATAGCAACACAGTCCCAAATTTCCTGGGCTCACAGGGTAGGGTCACAGTTCATGGCCTTCACTATGTGAAAAGGAACATCCAAATATGTAGCAGGTTTCAAGCTTTTCAGAGAGTATTGTGAAGAACAAAAACATGCAATATTTGATAAAATATAAGAGAACACCGAAACCACTTGCCGTACTCAGCTGCTCCTGGTTTCTCCTCACTCTCTCTATCTCCGGTGTTATGCTTAGTGGGGTTGCCCTGGGGCACTGCTCTTTATACTGGAGCTGGGGACAAAGTGCAAGACAGTGTGGGGTTATGGGAAGGAAATGTGCACCAATACACCGGAACAGATGAAAAGAAATGCCATATGGCTACAGAGCATTCATTAGTTAAAATCTTCACTAGGATCTGATAATGAAATATGCATTGCTAATAGACTTCATCATATTGATCCCAGACTAAGCTTTTTCTGGTCCAAATGTTTTGAATTCACTTTTAGTTATTATTCTTCAAATTGTCTCATTTATTGGTAGCCTCTCTGAGTTCGATCTTATCAGTAATAATAGATGATCTTTTCTGTGAATTCATTTTTTTAAAGAACTAGAGCAACATTTATCAGATTACCATTTTATATTTAAAAAGAATAATTCTGCACTCATCATTAGAAAGGAAGGCCCCACCAGTCCTATGCTTACACCTCAGTGACAAACTGACACCATATAAAGAAACTCTGAACCTCGTAGTTTCCTTCTTGACAAAGGTCCAATATGGGAAGCCTGCTCTCTGACCAAACAGTATGGAAATTTCCCTGACCTACTGCATAGAGGTGCCCCTACTCAGCTGGGGGGATAAGACCCCATCGTTTGTGGTCAGTTTTCCCAGCAATTCCACAACACCCCAGGAAACAAATGAGCATCCGACACAGAGAAACAGGATGGCATGTCCGCCAAATGAATTTTGACAGGCAAAAGTAAAACTAGAGGTTAAAATCCCATTGTAAGGAACACCACAGGGACAGTCAATGATTTTTTAGAGTTTAAATTTAGCGTTAAGGAACCTTTTTTGGCAAGAAATCACAAGGCCTACAGGGCTGGCAGATAAAATGGACTTGAGATGCCCACTCTCAGCAGTGAACATCCAAGTGTAGAGAAGCTTGATAAGCCTGGAAGATAAATGACAAAGGGACAGGCCGCTTCGGTGTGACCTCTTTCCACGATGTGCGAGTTTCTCTGTGCCGTGGTAAATAGTTTGAGAGTTTGAGCAGATTCTTGTGTCTGGGATAACTGTCTCAGTTAAAGTGAGGAAAGGTCCAGTGTAATCTCTCTTGATGGCAGGACACAAGGAAAAGTTACTCTGGGTAGAGCTCAGAGGGGAAGAATTTCTTGAACAGCATTATTGATGTAGAGAAACCGTTGTAGCTGATTTCTAGTGGATGTAAGTTTGGGGACATAAATTTGATACGGAGACTCTTCATGTCTTGCATCCATCCATTCACAGACATGCTAAGTGCTTTACAGGCAATATCTCACTTAATATTCTAGTCCCTGTTTTATAGATGAGGAAATCGAGGCTTGGAGATGTTGGTGGCTCATGAAGATTACACAGCAAGTAAGATCTGGAACTAGGATCAAACCAATAGTCCAGGGTCCACGTTCTTCCCCACTACTCCAGTGTTGCCTAAATTCCCACCAGCTGCTCACCACTTCCCATATGCCATGCCAGATACCACCTGTGCTGTGATTTACAGTATTGTTTCATTAAATTAACTTGCTATTATTTTCAAATAAAGTTATTTTAAGGGAGCGTTATGTTTCTACAATAAATTGAAAACCAGTAACCCTTCTTTTAAAGAAAGGTACACATTAAAACAATTGAATCACTAAGGCAAGGCCTGATCATTGGCAGGCCTCTTAACGTAATCTTGGATATCAGCTGGTATACGAACCACACTTTAGGGACACTGTGGGACTCCCAACTGCCTCCTCATGACCTGAATAACAATTTCTCTCTCCACCAGGCTCTCCTGCCACCTTTCACGCCAAGAACTCATCACACTAAACTTTCCCCTCCTCGAACAGGCCTTGGATCCTGAACACATTCAGTTTGATCTGCCAAGAAGGCCCCTCCTTACAAAATCCACCCCAGATCTAACTCGATTCTTTAAGATCTAACTCAAAAGTTACTCTTTCTCTGAGGGTTTTCCCCTCTCTCACTGACATAGCCTTCCTTCTTGAACTTTCACAGCACTTTGCAAGAGGAATTATTATTCATTATTAAATGAGATACTACATGTAAAGTACTCAAAAAGCAAAGTAAACACGCAACAAATATTAATTATTGTTCTAGTACTTCAAAACAATGCATGATGGTTATTTATTCCTAGGTCTGTTTCTCCTAGAGACTTGGAGAACACTCACAGCCCCTAACCTTAGAGTGTATCTCATTCATCTTTGAATTCCTCCAAGAACAAGAGCAGCATAGGCATTCAAAAACATGTTCTTTAATAAACAAATGCACACACTAAGTGCACTGCTCGCCCAACATGAAGATGTGTGAGACCTTATCTCTGCCTTTCAGGAGCTGGCCCTCCTAACGGTATCCATTGTAATGGGATTTCTTTCACCTGTCCAAGCTCCATGCCCTCATTTATATTATAGCCATCTAATAAAATAGAAAACAATACTTAAAGAAATATGATCACACATTGCTGATGTTCTTCTGGTTTTCTTTAATTCTCTTTAGCTCTGGAGGATCAGATATGGCTGTCGCACATTTCATCTCTTCTTTGTATTTCACCTGCATAATTTATAAAAAAGTAATGTGAGTTTTATTCAACACAAGGCTTAAAAAACAGTTAAGAATTCTTCATTTGTTAACTATTGCATAATTGAATTTTTAAATTCCAACATTAATTTTTCCTTCAATGGGAACACAAATTTTTATTTTATCTGATGCTTTCAGGATTCCTTCATCCTAAAGTGCAAATAAACCCATATCTCTTCACCTATCCATCATTGAAGGAGTTTTTTAATTAAAAGAAGCAAATGTTGCTTATGAAAATAAATTTTATCATTAGGAAAATAAATTTTGTGCATTAGGATGCACAAAAACATCCTGGAAATTATCTTTAATAATATAATATGTAATTTATTACTTTCTATCTGAAAACCAGTTTTTATTTATTAATATGTTAATTAAAATCTACCATGTGTTTAAAGGCAAAAGTCCAAGTGAGTTAGCTACAGAGTCTTGGAACACTGCTTCTCTGACTGAGAGCACACAAATAATCCAGAATAAGGAAAAAAATTAAGTGGCCACAATAAAAGAAGAAAAAGGGGGAGGTGGAGGGAAATGTGCCAAAAGCAGAGGCCACGGTGTCTTGAACCCCACAGAAGGGCCAGTAGCAGAAAGTCAGGAAGTATCTTCTTTCCACACAATCACTCTACGTAAAAGTCCGTCTATATCCTGGCATCCACTTCATTCAAAAGCTCCTCTTTCAAATCTATTTAGAGGAAGATCAACCCAACAATGGGAATGCCAGCACTCAGGCAGGGGACAAGAAACAGCTCTTTAAACCTATGAAATGTGGGCCAGCCCTGGTGGCCTAGTGGTTATTTGGCACGCTCCACTTCAGCAGCCCGGGTTCAGTTCCAGGGTGTGGACCTACATTGATCATCTGTCAGTGGCCATGCTGTGGTGGCAGCTCATGTCAAAAAGAGGAAGGCTGGCAGTAGATGTTAGCTCAGGGCAAATCTTCCTCAGCAAGAACAAATAAAAATAAATAAACTTATGAAAGGCTTAGTGATGCCATTGAATCAGGTGGTATTTTAATACGTCTAAAATTCATGGAAGATTGGATTCCAGAAAAAGGACACACATATATATTCATATGAATGGAAACACAGGCTAGACTTAAGGGGCACATGTAGAAATTTAGCAAAGACTTAAATCTGTACAAAACACGTTTTAGAAATTACTTGGTAATGTTTAAAATGATTAAGGCTAAATCTATGCTGACAGTCATTAAGAAAAAGTTCCTAAATATCTCAGAGATCATCCATGTCTTAGTATTTGTGGATTTCATATGCGTAACAATGCCAACATCAGAGCAGATCCCAAACAGTTAAATTGAGAGTACACTGTGAGAGGCTACCTCTAAATAAGATTCAAAAATAGTTCTGAGAGCAAGCTAATAGCTAAAAGGCTTGTACTCTGGAGGTGGAAAATGTCGAGATCTTTAAATGTTAGAGAATCATATCTCGGTTTGACAGATCTAGCTAATCTTGAAAGGGCAACTTTCCATTTGAATACTAAGCAGGAGTTTATGGCCCAGCCTCATAGAGATACAGAACTATGCATTTATTGTTTGCAAGAAGAGGCAGTAGGATGCTGGAAGAAGAAATGATATACTGTACTACTTGGTGTGATTTTCCTCGGATGAGAAGCTAAACATGATTAAAGAGGAACATTTTTGTTTTTCATATAACTCTAAACTAATCAAAATGGCACAGTCATTTCACTGCATGCAATAGAATTGCACACTACAGAACATTTATAACATTATATCCCAGTACATTGATGGGTACATTTCAAATATTATCATTTGAAAGTGAAGGAAATAAACATTTTACACTTCTCTGCCAAACTAATTTCTCTACCAGACCCGAGTATTGCCTGACACAAGCTCCCACCATGGTGGATCAGAACACGTTTATACACTCTCATCATAAGGTCCTTCTCCTTATGCTTCCTTTAGGAGATAGCTTCATTCATGCTACAGAGACTTTATTGTACTGGTATTACGCAGATTATGCATAAATTCATTTTGAAATATGTTTTACTGCAGCATTACCTTATCTCTCCTACTATTTCTCCACAAATGCCAGCACACACTTATATTCTAGCATGCCATGGGACTATCAGAGTTCCTGACAGATGAGACTAGTCAAGGCAGTTCAACTTGGATTACTTAAAGAAAGGCTCTGCCTCCAAAGGTAAAGGAGAAGAGAAAGGTTGGGGAAGGGGATTTAAGGAAAGAACCCTTTTGATTTCCTCCACAAGAAATTAAATATACTAAATTTACATGGAAGAATACCTATTGGTAAGAATAGCAATTATCCATTGTCAGCATCGAGCATTGAATGGAGAAGGGTTTACCCATAACATTAAGCACCTCCTCTACCCTTCCCCCGAGCTCAAAGGGAACTGGAGGCTAAGTTATTTTATGAATTATAGTGAAGGTGTATGTTTTTCTTTGTTGGAAGCTGGAAGAAGTAGAAGGGAAATGGGGCCTTTGAAATCTTCTCTTAAGCCACCAAATAACCGTCCTAGGGCCTTTAATCATTCCATCAGGGTAAAATGTCTTTCCTCCAAGTCATGGAGAGGTACTGAAACTTATCCTTTCTCTGAAAAATTTAATACAGTTAAAATTCTGTTCAAAAGCATGAAACCTAATCCCAGATTTCATTACTGTACTATTAAAGTGATCTATCTCTTATGTACTATGATATGTCAAGATAAAACAGTGCTTTATGTTCAAGGGGAACAAGGCTACAGTTTTCCCTCTGAAAGTTAGACCTTTGATATTTGATGAAATAGCATTTCAACAAAGTAAAGAATAAAAGAAAAAGGCAGCCAGTTTAGTAAAGACCCAAAACTGTTTACCCAGCTTACGTTTGCTTTTGGAACGGATAATTAACGCTAAAGAGAACTCACTGAACTAATATTCTGCTGATTTTTCTTCACTCGTTCAATCTCTGGAGTATCTTTTACTGCTATACCAGCTCCGACTTCTTTTTTATAAAATACCTTTATTATGAGAGAGGAAAAGAATAAGTATAAGCTTATTAGAATTCAAGTCCTAGATCCGATTCATATAAAAGAGAGACAATTTTCCAGGTTTTAAAGTAATGTGAACACACCTTCTATTTATGAGTACGAACATTATATTAATCAATTAAATAATCCATGACGAGAATAAATGTCCAATTGTGGCTTCATATACCATAATCTTACAAGGAACCCTCTAACCCCTGTTCTAGGGCATGCATGATACCTTAGGTAGCTGCAGGTTATTTGCTCTAAGAATATAAATCAGCAAACGAGTTTCCTTCTTCAAATATAAATATATGTCAAATGTGTATTTGAGAAAAATCAAAGTGCGTATGATAAAAGCTCACTAAGCAGTTATCATTTAATTCAAAAACAGCATGAAATTTTAAGCAAGTGCTGTTCTCCAAACACAAAGATGCTCTTGTTCTCTTCAAAGAAAATATTAGCTCTATCATCAACATCAACAGTAATTCAGTCTACTTTCCTTTTCTTCCACTTATTCATTAACCTTTCCCCATGTCTCTCCACCCCGACCAACAGCCACCCCTTTCAAACACAAAACAAACAAAAAACAGAGTGCTCTAAAGAAAAATAGAATAATTATAGAAAAATAGAATAGAATAATTATATATATAGAATATAGAATAGAAAAATAGAATAATTATAAGAAAGGCATCCCTCTCTTGATGTTTGGTAATCCAGTGGGCCCTAGTGGGGGTTGGGAGAATACCATATGAGAGATGTTTTCCTCCAAGACCTAGAAATCTGGAGTACCATGAAATCACAGGAGATAAGGGCCAAAACAGCCTTTTTCTCTGATCCTCCCTTCCAGCAAGACTTTTCCATTTCTTAGCACAGCCAGACATGAAGACTTAGAGGTACCTGACCCGCACACCCTGAGGGTTAGAGCTTGCCAATTTATTGGAAAGTAGAAAATATTCCAGAAGTCTCAGACTTAATATAATTGATATTTTGACGAGATCTTTGCTTAACTACTAAGTGAGCTAATTCTACTTTAAAATATTGGCTGCATGGTCAATTTTTAATTTTAGAATTTAAGTTCATATATCCATTAAGCACAGACCCAACCTCTTAATCAACACTTCCTATTCCTCAAAATAAAAATACAAAAGTTTAGGAATTGATTATAAACTAGTGAATTCCTAGACATATTATCAGTGCAAATAATCAATGACTATGAAGGAAATCACTTCACATGAATATTTTCATCTTCAAAGTAAAATCTGTGTGGACGATCAAGACCTCGTTCCTGAGTAAAATTCTAAAATTCAGTTAAAAATAACTGTAGCTTGTGCCAAAGAAGAAAACCTGAATTTGTAACTCTAAAACAATCATGCTAAATTAGAACTTGTAAGAACATTCGGTACTCTTCTTAAAGAAATAAAGATAATACATTTGATAGGAAATTCAAGCAACGCAGCAAAAATCCAGACAATGAGGAAAAAAGGCCCTCCTTTGCAAAGTAAAACTTCAAGATGGCAACTGAAGAGAAATAATGGCTACTCACCGCACTGACGTTTTGTTGAGTTGTCTTAATTCTCTGAATTTCAGGAGAATCTGCCACAGGAGAATAGTTAGAAAGCATCTTCTCTGCTTCATCTTTATACTTTTTCTAAAAACATGAACAGCTATTATAGATCTGAAACTCTGCACGTGCGCGCACAAATATCCATATGTATGAGAGAGACAGAGACAGAGAAAAATGATACTATTCCTTCGAACCCTACTATACCACATGGCTGTAAATTATGTCTTCTGATTCAAAGCAGTTGTTGATGCAACAGTAAAAATAAAGGTAGTAGGCATAGAAAGCAAACAGTCCAGGGGAGCAGCCTCACCTCCGCTCAGGCAATGGTTCCCACCCCAGTCCATTCAAAGCTCCTGAGAGCTTGAGCTCTATCCACTTCTAAGTTAAAGACCACTCTTTCAGGAGCAGCCCCAGTCTCTGCTCAAAGTAGCCCCACAGCTCCTGCAAGTTACCTGGCTCTCTATACCTACTTGTTTTCATGCTTCTGGATTTATGCTTTGCCTCCTACTTCAGATAAAGATACATTTACTTAAAGGAAAAGTGCTAATATTTTTGTAGTTGAGATATAATTCTCAATTTTCTCTCTACTAAATGTACTACAAGCTCTGATACAACCTGGGCAATACCTTCCACTAGTATCCGTATTTACATAGTGCTTACTGTGTAACAGGTATTGTTCTGAATACTTAACACACATTAACTCATTTAATCAATCTCACAGCAGACACTATTATTTTATCCACTCTTACAGATGGGGAAACTGAGGCATTTGCAAGGAAGTGTCAGAGCTAGGATTTAAACCCAGGCCCTCCAGGTCCAAAGTCAATGAAGTTTACCATATGGCATACTGCTGTTTGTTAGGAAAGGTAATTATTGTTCATGTTGAAATGCACCACAGCATGATTACATCCTCTTAAGTATTCCATTGTATCCACAATAACTAAAATTCCTTAAAATCAGATGCATCCTCATGTCACACTCAAAAAATCAACACTGTTAAGTTAAAGCAGGAATTCTGACAGCTCAGGCATCGCTTCCTATCTGAAGTCTTCACTCTTGATACCTTTACTTTCTGGTAATACAGATCATAATTTGTAATAGTATATTTGCATCATTATTTATTAGGTTAGCCTGTAACTCCCCAAGGGCAAAACCATGTCTAATTTTGCATGTAAATGGGTGATCAGGAAGCATTTGCTGAATGAATGAATGAGCTTGGCATTCTTTTTTTTTTTAAAGATTTTATTTATTTAATTTTTTCCCCCCAAAGCCCCAGTAGATAGTTGTATGTCATAGCTGCACATCCTTCTAGTTGCTGTATGTGGGACTCGGCCTCAGGATGGACGGAGAAGTGGTGCCTCGATGCGCACCCGGGATCCGAACCCGGGCCACCAGCATTGCAGCGCGCGCACTTAACCACCAAGCCACAGGGCCGGCCCTGAGCTTGGCATTCTTGACACAGTAACTCTTCTCCACTGACTCAAGTGGCCACTTGCCTAGTGTATGTATTTATCTATGGTTTTAGTTCAGCTGATATAGTTAGCCAACTTCTCCAAGTTCATGTGCCATCATGAAACACTGAGGACAGATGAACATGCACTTAGGACCATCCCAACTGCTGTCACCCGAGGAGCCTGAGAAGCAGACAACTCCTTTGACATCTGACTCTGCCATCGTGATAACCCCATTTTGAACCAGCAAATGTTTAGACTCCTTGCTTATATTTTAACTAGAATTTTAACAAACTTAGCCAAATTTTGTTAAAAATTACTTTCAGCAAAAACTCCATTAATCAAATTTAATTCCTTGGTCAGTTTTCTACAAAATTTTAATTTTTTTCATTCCCCTTCAATATTTTCTTCCATTGGGATTCATTCTTTTCCTTGTAAATTTTATAACAAAGATAATATTCACTAACGAATATTTTTACCCAAGTCAAATTTTATCAATAACTTCTTCCATTAAATATTTTCTTTTGTGGTCATTATTTCCCTCATATCCAGTTGTTCTAGAGGACATGAGACAGGTTCACTTGGCAAATTAAATTTTACCAAGAAAACCTAGTTCTTCTCAATTTTTAGTTAATATTCAGTTTCACCTTACACCTCGTGCAGTTTTATTCACTCAGTTTTAATTGGGGCTGATTATTTTAATAATAATATTCAGTATAAATTGGGTAAAAGACAACTCGTGTGTAATCTTTTTTCTGTAGTGTGAGCACTGGAGGCAAGTGTGCAATAGAGTCAAAAAAAAAAAAGGTCAAAATGTCCTTGGACTCAAACCAGAGGGCCCCAACAGGGCAGAATGGACACTCAATAATGTCTGTTGAATCGAATCTACAGCAGTTGCCCCTTTCATTAGTGAGGTTAATCAAGTTTGGCCAGAGGTTCCTTTATCATAGCGTGCACTGACTCTGAATACAGTGCCCTCAAAAGGATATCAATCGTAGAGACACACAAAGCACATGGTGATTGGATATCAGAATACATCACTCTGAGCATCTTCATTCTCTACCTACCTGGCTGTAGATTTCAGATGCCCTCTTGGCTCGAAGCATATCTGGGATATCCATGCTCACCTGCATGCCTTTCCCTTTAATTTCATTTTCTAAGTCCTTCTTATATTCTTTCTAAAAGAACAGAAGATAATCTTTGGAGCTTTGCTTAACCTTCCATAGCAATGTAGATATTTGCGTGTTTGAATCTCAACACCACACATGTGGAAATACCATTGATATTCTTTCTAGATACAATTGAATGTGTTTGTTTTACACTTTGTACTCCGTTAGTTTCTTACCTGGCTGGCCATTTCGGATGCTTTCTTAGCTCTCTGGATATCCGGAGTGTCTGTGCTCACCTGCATGCCTTTCCCCTTAATTTCAGTCTCCAGATCTCTTTTATAGTCTTTCTATAGAAAATAAAACATGCAATTAGGGCTCTAAAATAATATGAAAAAACTGGGTTGAAAAACCTCATGACATTTTTGACACCAGGATCATGGCTTTTGGAAATAAGTTGGATCTTTCTTTCTTTTATTTCTATAGAACTAGAGTTTTAACTTGTGGTCGGAACATGCCTTAGAGTGACTTATTCACAAGTAATCAGGAGACTTCTTCTACTAACCTGAATTAAGAAAGAAAACAGAGTTAGCCAAGGGGAAATTTTTTATATTTCAGTACAATAAAATTGTTAAATTATCGGTTAATATATAACTCAGTTGATAAATATCAATCAAATGGAATTGTAAAATTGTTGCTTTTCGTTCTGTAGTGAATAACTGCTGGCTGCTTCCCTGGAATCTGACCACTCTTTTCCCTTCATTAACTGCCTGGTTTGCCACTGGGCAATTCACTGCCCTCCTTCTAAACCACTCAGCTCGGGTGAGACCGGCCCAGGGTCCGTGGGCTCTGTTGGACTTAAATAAATCATTATGCTCATCCCTGGCCCTTCATGACTGCTTGAGGGATAGGTACATTTCTTTTTCCACACAAAATGTCAAAAGACTTTCTCTTTCCTTCTGGACATGAATTGGAAAGGATGTAGCCCTGGGAGCTGCTAGATGCCTCTTTGCAAACAGAAGAAAGCCTGCCTGAGAACTGAAAGATAGAAACTGAAACTGAATCACGTTGTTTGAGTCCAAGATTGAGCCATGTCTAAGAACTCCTCTACTGTTCGGGATAAGAACAATAAATTATCTGCCTTTTTTAAGTCAGCTTGACTTGTATTATCCATCACTTACAAAATAGTCCTAATTACACAGACACAAATGTCTTAAGAGACTCATGCCACATTTTAAAACCAATTATAAAATTCAGCAAGCTGCACACCAAAAGTTGTACACTATTCTGCATATATTATTCTTCAATGAAAAATTTTATTGAAAGAAAAAAAATTGACTATATCAAGTTAAATTTCTTCTAAAACAGCTATTTTCTATTATGTTGGCATACTTGAGATTTGTAGATTCCCTGTTTTAAGGTAAATGTTGGCTTGCTCATTTGTGATATTCCAAATTTAGAGAAGTTGTAAACAAAAATCTCAATCCCAGAAAAATATTATGTATTTTTCCCTCTTCTACTCATAAACCAACCTATTTTCACTGACTTAGAGTCTCAGTTTCACTTTTCTGAATGAAAGTTCAAGTAATAATGTTTAACTTTCAAAATAATAATATTCAATTATTACCATGTCTGCAAAAAGCTCAGTTAGCCCCAAACAAAACCCCTCACTTGAAGGACAATATATGTAGAAACTGAGGCACTGATCACAGACAGCCACCAAGGTCCCATGGTAGAAATATGTCATTTAATTTTCCAACACGAACTTTCAAATCTAAAGGTGTTGTAAAGCACATAAACACACCTCACAGGACACTAGTTGCATCAGTTAATATTGATGCATAATAAAATACCCTAAAACTTAGAAGGCTTAAAACAACATGATGACATCTACATTTCAAGAGGGCAAGGCCCAATGCACACATCCTTTCAGAGCCTCTGCCTGAGCCACGTTTGCTAATGTTCTATTGGCTGAAGAAAGTCACATGGTCAAGCCTAGAGGTACTGGAAGGTTTGACTCTTGGGGGTCACTGGTGTAACAATATACTACATTACTCTTACTTGAAAAATTAAACTTTGAACTATGGTAAAGTCCCAGACTTTGGGTGAATAGGATTTGAGAGCGTGTCAATTGGGCAAAATGTGACATGGCTATGATTATATGCAAATGACACCTTTCGACTGCAAAGACAATGGCATCGCCAAAATTGGTTTGGGCTACAAGTAATCACAGTACAGCTGAATCCTCCAGGCCTGTCTTTCCCTCGGTTCTTAATAACTAAATTTGCCCCATTTTCCTACTATACAACCCAAGGAACACAAAGAAATCTAAATCAGCATATCGTTGAGTAAACTAATCTATTAACATACTAAGGAAGGACATGACATTCAAACTTTTCATAAAAGGAATATGTCTTAGAAGCCTGCTCTTAAGTAAAAGTGTGAAGTATAAAATTTCTGTTCTTCCCACATTCTTTTCTCCAGCAAAAGGATACTTTCTTTTGGCTTCAACTCTCAGGCCCATGAAGATGATTTCGAAAACTCTTCTCCAGCCACAAATCTCTCCCCATCCCTAACCCCATACTTCAGTCCAGTGCTTTGAACTAATACTGGATGTCACCCCTTCCTCACAACAAGAAAAATTTCAGGGCCGGCCCCATGGCTTAGCGGTTGGGTGCTTGCGCTCTGCTACTGGCGGCCAGGGTTCGGATCCCGGGCGCGCACAGATGCACCGCTTCTCCGGCCATGCTGAGGCCGCATCCCACATACAGCAGCTAGAAGGATGGGCAGCTATGACATACTATCTACTGGGGCTTTGGGGGGAAAATAAATAAATAAATAAATAATCTAAAAAAAAAACTTTAAAAAAAAAGAAAAAAAAATTTCAGAGAATTATAAGCAATGATTTGATAGTTACTGGGTAGTTAGTTACTCAGAAGTCCAAGGAGACCACCATAAGAAAGTACTATTTAATCTAAGAAATGAATAACAAGAAAGAACCAACCATGCAAAGATCAGGGGAAGGACTTTCAGGACGACAACAGAGCTGTACAGAGACCCTAAAACCTGTGGAGGCGCAGACTGGAAGCCTGTGAGGCTGGAGCATAAGGAACAAGGGAAGAAGGATACGGGATGAGGATAGGCAGGTTGGGGCTCATGGAGGGGGGCTTTGCAGGAGTATGGACATGACTGGAAACCACTGAAGACTTTTAAGTGGGAGGATTAACATAATTGAATTCTTCAAGGATTGCTCTGGCTGCTAGGCAGAGAATGGATACTAAGGGGGCGATAATAGAAGCAGAATTCTGGTTAGGAAGCTAGTGCAATGATCCAGGTGATAAAGATGGTAATTTGGACTAGGGTGGGGAGAAGTAGATGGATTTAGGAGACCATTAAGGGAGTGGAGTCAATAAAACTTGCTGACATGAGGAATCAAAGTGACTTTTGGGATTTCATCGATGCCGTTTGCTGAGAAGGGGGTGGAAGAGAGAAGTATATCCTGGGAAAAAGTAAAGGTTCTGGTTTCAGAATGTAATGTTGAGATCCTTGTTATAACAAGGACAAAATGACACATTGTATGTGTCATTTACATGTGGCAATGCTTCTGAGACATCAGGCTGCACATCCATGTTACAGAACACTTAATTTTTTAGAAGAATGAGGTAGAATTATATGAAGGAAGATGGAAAAGAGTCCATAATATTAAGTGAAAAAAAGGCAGCACAGAACAAAGTACATGGTGTCTAAGTTTTCATGAGTCTGTGTGTACACAAATGTATGTTTATCTATCTATACATAAATATAGATCTGGAAGGCTCTACAACAATTTTATAACAATGGCTAGCTCTCAGGAGGAGAACAGAATTAGGAGCCAAGTAAAAGGAGGTTTTCCAGTACCTGTTCAGGATGCATTCTGCCCACGTGCTGCCATTTTAAATGGAACCCCTATTGGTTAAGAATTCTATGCCATCCCCAGTTTCTTTGTCTAAACCAAAATGGCCATCCCATTCTCCTAGCCAGTAACCAACCCTGGGGATGTAGGCAGATCCCAACAGAGCCCTAACTCTCCCGACAATTAATCGGCTACCTCTCTTCTTCCAGATTTCCTGGGGGGACTCAATCCTGAGCCAGCTCTTCCTAATTCAAGGGTCACAATATAGCTCTCAGAGTAGCCCCACTGAAGCCTCCCCCTCAGTCAGCCTTGAGATAAGTAAGCAGCACCCCTTAACCTGCACCCCAACTTTCTCTTTACATATGCTTCTTATAAAATCATCTCTTCCCAAATGCCCTCCACTCCAGTGACCCTTTTATATTCTCAAAATTGTTGGGGGAGTTCAAGAGGTGTGGAACTGGTTCCAGGGTATTTCCTTTGAAAAATATCCATGCGGCCTGACCCTACAACTTTGTTATCTGATATCTATCATATCATAGCTTCTAAGCCAAAACTTTTGAATTAACATCCTGTCGTTACATGTATTACATGAAGAAGAAAATGGTATTAGATGAAGGAATGTGGTCATTTAGGATATATAATACTTCAACCCCAAATGCTGACTCTAGAAATTTCAGGCATGGTGATGAGATCAATAGAAGATATTTTGAGAACATGTAACCAAATCACACAGAAATGGCTATCAATGTCATGTTAGAGTCTCAATATGTGATTTTCAAGTTCTGCTCAGAAAGTTGGAAATACAGACATGCCAAGCAGCACATGATTTAAAGAAAAAATAGTATGAAAACATTGACCATAGCCTAGATTAATATGAAATTTATTGTATTACAGGATAAGGTAAGATGGTAGGGGTGTGTGTGTGTGTGTGTGTGTGTGTGTGTATGTGCGTGTTCTTTTAAAATGCCTTTTCTCAAGTTTTTTTGATATATTTAAAGGATATGAGCAAGGCAGAAACTGTAAATTTTCAAATAAGCATGATGATTTGGAATGATTTCCATTCCAAACTATTAAACCAGTCACAGAAAACCTGGAGAAATTCCATGTACTAATCAAGTTGTTAATATGATTTGTTAAGTTCCAAAATACAAGTTTAAGGTCTGCCTCACTCACTCTACTAACCTCACTAGCCATCTCTGAAGCTTTTATGGCATGTTGTATCCCAAGCGTGTCAGCGCCAACTTGCATTCCTTTCCCTTTAATTTGTGACTCCAGGTCTTTCTTGTATTCTTTCTGTAAAAAAGCAACATTTTACAACATTCAGACACCCTCAGGGGACAAACATAGACCAATGATACCAAAAAATGTTTCAATATACCTATTTCAAAAAGAAGAAGAAAGCACAGCTTACTTTGCACTATGAATGATCTGATTGAATCTCACTGGATCACCTTCTATCCCATGCCCACACCTCACCCAATCATTGTGTGATGTCAAGAGAGCTTAATGCGCTGATGACAGTATCATTCTCATGGTCACCCATTTGTTGAGTTAACTTCCTACGTAGTTTAACAGTATTTTAAGTAGAAAATATTCTAAATTGTTATGTGTTTTTAAAAAAATTGACATTCATCTTTGGCCATATCCATGTTCTTTAAATAAGTTAAAGGATATATTAAAAAGCATTTTAGTGGAATTAAAAATATATGTGGGGAATAAGGAGGGGATGGAAATCAACCCACCCAAAGTGTACGGATTGAGAGGAGTCAGAGGTAATTCCCAATTGTTTTGGGAGCTTGAGGATAGGGAGGCAGATTTAAATGAGTTGATGTTGTAGAAAGAAGACTGAGTTTGAGGCCAGAGTGCTCAATAGCTGTGTGACACTGGGAAAGTTTCTTAACATTTCTGGTTGACTCATCTGCAAAATGGGGATAATAATTCCTCCACGCAGGATCCCTGTGAGGATCAATGAGACAGCATATGGCCTAGTGCCCAGCACAGAGTGGGTGTTCAATAACTGATAGCTTTTTTGGTCTTTTACTCCTATACCCGTATCCTAAGGCCTGATTTATTGCTGCTTCTGCCACCATCTTGCCATTTAACTGCATCTGGCTGGACTCTGCCACTGAGAGTGTAAAACAATTTTTCCAAGTATTACTGACAAGTGATTACAAGATCTACCTCTGAACGTGGTCTGGACATGTCACCATAACAGAAGAATTTGTGGAAGATTACTAATGTAGGAATATGTAATGACAATATTAGCCAAAGACATGCCGGTGGACATCTGTTGTCTTTGCCTGGCCAGCATCCATTCCTCCCTCTTCTGGCAAAAAGCTCCATGATTTTCTTTGGCCGAATTGCCTCTGACCCCTCTTGACCCATGTACTTTGGACAGGTTGAGCACCATATGAGGTCACCAGCACATTACACTGCCCCGACATTACACAATAATTGGGTCAGGTGTGGGCACAGGATAGGTGATCCAAGGAGATCCAATCCTTGAACCCTAACCATAACTGTAAGAAAACAGATGCTCACTTCCCACTGGGATTACCGGCCACAGACATGAGTTATCCTGTTGTTAAGAGGGGCCATGACATAGAGACAGCCTCCCAAGAGTGAAGCAATAGAGAAGATAACAGAACTGGGAGATGAAGGAAGAGAGATATCAACTGAATTTCAACCTGTAGTAAACCTGATCTTTGGACTTCTCTATTCATAAACCAATACGTCTCCTTTGCTGCTTAATCCAGGTTGAGTTGGGTTTCTATCATACGCAACCTGACGAATAGGGCTGTCATCATCATCGCCACAGTTTATTAACATATGGGGAAAAAGCTTTAAATGTTTTCACTGCTAAATTCAGCTAGATTCTCTTCAAAGCACTATGCATTATCTGATACCAAAGTAATGACATAACACAAGGATTAAAGGACTGAAAGAACTTCAGAGGCACTTCATTTCTTCTTATAAATTTCATGTAACGTGAGCAATGACCACTTTCATTTTATAAAGAGGTTTATGTAGACTCATGCAGCAGCCCAGGCAAGGACTGGGAGAGTCGAGTGGGTTGTGAGCAGGAGAGCACGTGAACTTTTAAACTGCAGTTATCGACAGACCGTGATAACGCGCCTTCCTAATCTTCTGCCTTTTACTTGCTTAAAAGATCAGTTATATCTCATAAAATTATTTTGGTTTATTATATAGATTTTCCTCTAAAATGGGGAAATGGACATGTTTCTCATACCACATAGAAAGGAGATGGTGAGCATGATTTTTTTTTTAAATTCATTGATTGGGAGAAGACAAGAGCCGCTTACAATCATCTTACATATAAAAGTTGTGGAACACATATATATATAATCTTTGAGAAGGATTTATAGATAAGGAAATCAGCTTAAAATCCACACATTCTCAGTTGTTAAATAAATATACTCACCTCACTAGCCATTTCAGATGCTCGTTTTGCTCTTTGAATATCAAGAACTTCTGAATTAAGTTCCATTCCTTTCCCTTTTATTTCATTTTCCAAATCTTTTTTATATTCCTTCTATGAGAGAAGAATATTACAGTTTGAAATTTACTAGGAAGCTCTTCAACTGATATACTGTTTTACATATTTTCTAGAGACCACAGAAAGGAGAAAATATTTCTAGAAAGGAATGAATCAGTCTCCTAAGCATTCATATTCCTTATTTCCTACAGAGACTTCATTTTCTCTTGTAATCACGTTTAGAGGGACGTCCAATATTATCAGTCATCTCCCTTTCATCCTTTCTTCCAATATTTTTTGGAACCATATTGGTATCATATTTTAAAAAGATGTCTTCCTTTAAATGTTCAGGAAGATCTTAGAAATACATGCTTTTTATTAATTATTTGAAGTATTACTTTGAAAACTGTCTATAAAATATGAATCACCAAAAGAACACAGTTGAAAAAGAATGAAAAATTACTAAATCAAAAGGATTGATGTAGCCAAAGTTAAAATCATTTTATTCAAAGATTAATAAAACCAAAATAATTTCCTACAGATTGACAATATATAGTTTTAATTTCACCTATGTTAATATCATATTTTAAGTAGATCCAAATGTCTTTACTAATACTTATATATAACTTGGAGGGTTTTTTGTGCTAACGAATTTTTTGTTTTCTTACTAATTGCATTATGAAAACAATGCATATCTTAATCCAATTCAACTAAGTTGCATTTATGACTAACTTACCAGATGGAAGATGAGATTTCCTTTAATGATAAGAAATCATGTTCCAGTTAATTCTAGGGTTCATTTCATGTTACTTTTCTCTTTGTCCAGTATAATCAAATTAGCTGGATCTCTGCTTAACTAATAGCCTACAAGACATTGTAATGACCTGCATGTAATTTTGGAAAGAGCTCTGGCGTCAAATGGCCGGGAAGTCACAGTTCTGTCACTTATTGGGTCATGTGACTTTCAAGAGAACTTTAAGTAGCTAATCCTTGATTTCTACACAGGCAAAATGAAAATAAAAATACTTGTTCTCCCAATGTCAAAGGGCAATGAGGGGAATCAAATGAAATTCAGTATAAAATGATACGTTGAACACTTTAAATGGCAATATAAATGTAAAAACCATAAAGTAAAGAATGCAAAGACAAGTTAAAGCTAAAGGTTTACACTCACAAAGGCAAGTTACAATGTCATCAAGTCACTAGGAGTCCCTTTTTAAAATCAGACATCTCTATAACTTAATTAAAAGATTTTAAATCATAGTCTTTTGGGCCTTTTTCCTATCCTGATGCATACATTCTGAATCATTAAGTCAAATAAGATTCATTCAAAAAGAATATTAAAAAAAGGCCATCCATGTATATTAAAGTCATTTATGGATCCCAAAATAGATCTCACATTGTCATTTGTATGTAAATGATGAAAAGATTCCCCTTTAAAAAGTTCACATAAATAGTGCATATTTTTAAATGGAAGACAATAATAGTAGAAAGTTGCCATTTGATTAATCTTCAACTTCAAAATATTTTATAGGTACTAGAAGTGAGAAAAGACAGGGTAGCAAGAGAACTCTTCTATAAATTATACGCCTATTTCAGCCCAATTTACAACTGTGAATCACATTACATTGCTAAAAGCAGTTAAATGGTAAAGGCCGACTGACATTTGGTTATTAAAGAAGTTCATGGCCATGCACGTCTATGCAGGTAATTATACTCTAACTTATTTCACTGGTTTAAGACTTCTCTTTCAGGAATAGCTAGTTTCTTCAGTTCAAAATACAGTATGAAATGGAGTTCCCTAATGCCCTCCTTTAATGTAAAGCGAATCTACTTAAACAGAGAGTTGGAAGAGCTCCAAGTTACTTTGCAGCCATTAAAAACAAAAACGAAAACAAAAAAACTTTTAAAGGGATGGACTGTGAGTGTGATATTTTTAATTGTTAGATTTGAGGACCTTAATGTTCAACGTGTGAGCCCAAATGCACCACTAAGTTTGGCGGGCAAATTCCGCTGAGAATAAAATGACAAATGGACATGAGTTCCTATGTTCTATATGCTAAATATGTTATTTTTTCCCTACTTAGAATACAAACCACTTATAAACAATGTACCATTTATCCAGACCTTCACACATGAGAACCTCATTTTTGATATCAAATGTCATGAGAATACTGCAGGGAAGTGACAGAAAAGGTGGTTCTAAAATGCATTTTTACAATAACTAAATTTGAAAGAATCAAGCTTGCCTTACCCATACTCAGAATATGTTTTAAAAAAAAAACTAACTGCCATAAAGCCATAAAACTACTTATAGAGCTTCTGAGCTGCAATCCAAACATAAAATCAGAATATTTTTCAAGTTTGTCCAGGAAATTTGAGTAATTTCTTCCCTCAACTTTAAATGGAAATGTTAACACACATCTTTCTGTTTTTAATGAAAATTAAAAACTCTATTAGTAAAAGTCAAAGTGAGGGAAAGAGTAGTGCATTAATATCTCAAACAGTGAATTAGTGGAGAATTACGTAAATATTTCCTGGGTTATTTCTCTAGTTTTCTTTTGCAATATTTAACAGTAAATAGCAGGATCATACCTCCTTCAGAAGGTTGGTGATGTATTTTACATGTAAAAATTCTGGAGTCTTGTCTAAATCCAGTGATGACCTTCCTTTAATCTCCTTCTCAAAATCCTCTCTGTAAACTTTCTGTTAAATAAGACCACATAATTTTAAATTTAAAAAATATCAGTGATTGTTGAAAAGATATTAGAACAAGAGTTCCCAGAACAAAACCAAAGTTTTTCTTACATAATTCTGCCACCTCAGAGTCTTCTTATCAACAGGAAAATAACTCCAACTTTATCATAAATTTTAGAATTCTACCAAACAAAAGCAGAACCATCAAGTACCAACTCCCTCTGGAAAAGTATTCTGAGTAAGGCTGCTTAACATCGCATAATTTGTTATTGTTTGACATCAGCCCAATGGGGAGGAGAACCAATAAAGTTGGCTATTTGATTGGATCACCTAACTGGTTCAATCAAAAAGAAAAGGATCCATCCACCGGAAGAAAATCTGGAGGCATGGAAGCCCATTCAAACCAAAGTAGCATTAATGTTCATGTCGTCATCATCCCTCTCACTGTCAGTCTTTGTGAAGTCAGGAAAGACTATTTCTAAAATGTGATGGAGGCTGGTGGGGAAGATTTTCCTTTAATGATGTTGCCATTGAGAATATTTCTCTACCATCTATGGTGTCAGATGTGAATCAAGTTACACAGTGAGGAGAATCTTATCTTGAGCTGATAAATTGTTCTTTGGGTAAGTGTTCACAATAAGAAACAAAAACAGATGCTGACAGTGATTGTGGAGGGCCTAAATCTATACCCCCACCTGCCCTTTTGACACTGACACCCTTCAGCTATGATTCTCTAAAGTCTACCATTCGAACTAGGCATTTGAAAATCAATGGAAAGCCATGCTTTATGAGTATAAAGACAGTCTCTCTAAATAACAAAAATATTCACCCATGCGAAATATTTACCAAACAAGGGCCTACATTTTACCAGCTAAATATTTTATTCAACTTGCATCACAAAGATGATAAAAGTAAATAAATTCTACATGAGATTGTTATTGATGCAAAATGAGAAGCTATTTTCTAGGTTTATTATGTACTTATTACAGCGATAGGTAATTATATAAAGAAATTCTATTTAAAAAGTGAAATATAAATATGTGTGTATTTATTTATTTCAGATATTTCACTTCAAAAAGCCCTTCTCCTCTGAAAAGATTATTTTACTGAAGTGAGTCATTAAAGAAGGTTGATCATGACTAGAACTGGCCAATATATAAGCAGAGGGAAAAAAATCCTTTAGTACGCTTTTTGTTAGGAGAGCTATATTTGTGAAACAGAAGACAAAGAACTTTTCAAGGCCAGATTTAAAGATTTCTTCTAGAAAACACACTAATTAAACCTACACCTAATATTAGAAGAAAGTGAGAGAAGCATAATTATAGGCTGTAACAAAAACATCAGTGGCTCTTCTTGAGATCATAAACACTTAGCTTTACCTATAACTTTAGGAGGCTCCTTAAGAAGCTCACAGTCAAGCTTACCTCTTAGGAATAAAAACCATCTCTAAGCCAGGCGGTTCTCTTTGTGTCTACTTCATTGGTCCTATACTTAAAGACATCCTTCACATCAAACTTGGTCTAAGATATTCTATCCTCCTAGCCTTTAGAGAATAAATTTGGTCCAAAGATATTTTCTATTGGAAGATTTCTCTCTTCTCAAGCCCTGCTGAGAAGAAACAATTGCTGAGCCTAAAAATCTAATAGCCAATGGCTATAATTAAAGGGAAAACACATCTCAGCCTCTGCAAAGGATAATTCCCCCTATTGACAATACCAGAAATCAGAATAGCAAAAATTGAAAGCCAATTTTAACAAAATGCCTACACAGCCCCCAAGGTAAGTTAATTCCACAACATGTAATAAACGTATAACTAAGTTAAACATTAAAACTGTTTACATCTGACGTCACAACAGCCAACCAAAAGCAAGTAATTAGCTCATTTGACCGATTTGGTTTATAGCTGCATCATTTTATTTTCCTTTTGTACTGTGTAGTCACAGCAACGGTAAAAGCAAAGTGCTAGTTATCAGACTTCCAGGATCTGCACAAGGAAACATAGCGACATAGAAACAATAGCACTTTTTCAGTGCTGAGGGTCCCCTTAAAGTCCCTGTCATCTGTAGAGTGAAATTTATTCTCAGGCAGTCTTTTCACTTTTGAGGGTTATCCACAATGGAAAAAAAAATCAACTGAGAGTTTCATGTAAATAATGACAATTTGGTCTACTTTGCCCACTGAATCTTTGAGAAGCAGATATCCACATGTTTTAGGGATTTTTTTTTTTATCCATCTGGTTTTTACAATTTTAAGTTAGGGGAATATTAGTTTCTTTCCATGACCCAAGGTTTCTCAAAGTTTGGTTGTTGGTCCACCTACATCAGAAGCTCCAGGGACAGTCTTAAAATATGATTCCCAGGTCCCACTGCAAGACATATGGAAGCACACTCTGAGGCGGCAGCGTAGGGATGCGCATTCCCAACACGCTTCCCTGAGACTTATCCACAGGGGAGCTTGAGTGCTACAGCCATAGGGAGAAAGAGAAGAGGGGAATATGATATTCAGAAGAGAAAGTACAGAGAGGATGAAAGAGAAGGAAAACAGAGGAGGAACACTGCCCTCCGTGAATAAGACCAGGAGAGTGTAGCACAAACACCAAAATAACAACAGCCTGGGGCTGAGAGGAAGAACACTGACATAGCCCAGTTTGGAAGGTGCTGGTCTTCTCAATAAGGGAAAGGGCATGGCTATCAATGAGAGCTGGGGACCAGGAGCGAGAGCTGTCCAGTGCGACTTACACATAACGATGGCTCCGGAGGCTCAAGCCGGGCGGTTTCGTTCCATCTCCCCCACTTGGCAACAGCACAGGCAGGGAGAACCTCCTAACCTCCTCCATCCTAAGAGAGGGACCCTCAGAAGCCATTTCACAGGTGGGTCTGAAGCTCAAGTGAATGGAAAAGCACAGCTCAGGCAGGAAGAGAATGGACCGGAAAAACCAGAGTCCAGGAATTTGATGGTCATCTTCATGCAGAGAGCACACTTGGGAGGAGTCAGAGAATAAGTTTGGTGAAGAAAAGAGAGACTATGATGAGAGATGAGGATCTAAAATCTCAGATCACAAAATACCATCATTTCTAATACAGAAACACATTATTAGAATATATTAATCATGAGTTATAAATTCTAGGATTTATTGGTGAGAGGAAAGTAAATGAACTGATGTAGAAAAATCTCAAGGAACCATGAGACCAGAACGACACAAGGGTTCTCAGCATGGATGTTCCTGAGACTGAGGATCAAAGATGGAGGGAAGAGGAAAAGGGGGATGGAGGGCATGGAGAAGATGAGCATAAACCTGAAATGCTGGTATTATCCTCTTGATGTTGTTTTCAGAAAAGTAAAGTGATTTTTGATCTCTGTGTTTCTTAGTGCAAGAGAACCCACAAAGTGAAAGCACCACGACAGCGAAGGTACAAATCTTTCTCTGGTCTGTGGGTCAGTGACATCAGCCACATTATTCCTCTAAAACAAGGGGGAATTCATAGGAAAGCTACCAAAATGTCCCCACTGCAATGGAAGACAAGAAGGCAAGGTGAAGGATATGCACAATACTTTACATACTGTTCCTGAAATGCAGAAAAGGTGTTGGGACTGAATGTTTGTGGCCCCCTAAAGTTCATATGTTGCAATCCCACCCCCCAATGTGGTGGTATGAGGAGGTGGGGCTTTTGGGAAGTGAATAGGATTAGATGAGGTCACAAGGGTGGAGACCTCATGATGGGATTAGTGCCCTTATAAGAGCCATGAGAGAGCTTCCTTCTCCTCTCTGCCCTCAGCCAAGGGAGGACACAATAAGAAGGCAGCAGCCTGCACCCCAGAAGAGGGCTCTCACCAGAACCCAACCATGTTGGCACCCACATCTCAGAATTCTAGACTCCAGAACTGTGAGGAATAAATTTCTGTTGTTTAAGCCACCAAGTCTGTGGTACTTTGTTATAGCAGCCCAAACTGACTAAGACAGAAGATATTCCAGTAGAAGTTACCCCATTAAATGTACATTTTCGTAGGGCTTCTGAATTTTGACCAAATTTACCTGCTCTGTCAATTCAGTTAAAACAAACAGCTAATTTAGTCAAAATATTCACCTGACCATTCTTGATCAAATTCCCCTTTATTGGCTCAAGAAGATATGAGACATGAAAGATGTATTATTTTCCGCTCTCTTACTTGAAGAAGAAATTAAACAATTTTGACTACTTAGCAAGCCACAGTAATGTCTGAGTGTTCTTTCCTTGAGAAGAGGAATTATAACATTTCAACAAATAGCACATACAATGTTTACAAAATTCCTACAAGAGTTTTATTGTCTGGAAGTTATCATTTCCCCCTATTTTGACATTGCTATTGGAGAACAGAAAAGATCTTGCCCGTTGAGCATGTCTGGAATGGAGCACTGGGCTTGGAATCAGCTGTTACTTCTGCCCATTATTTCTGTCCCTTTGAAGTAATAACTTGGTTGTACCCACAGAATTTGGACGTTGATTGCAGACAAAAATCTTCTGTGTCTGGTGTCTGGTTCCCAAAAACGTAGGGGAAAAAAAAAACCCCAACAACAACAGAAAAAAATCTCACTGGGACAGAGCAAAACCAGTGTGAGAGAGATCTGAATGTGACTTAGCATTATCTTAAGTAGAGAATAAAGTGAATAAGCAGAAAAAATTCTTAACTGATCTCTTCTCTTGTTATTTTTGTGTGTGTGTGAGTAAGATCGGCCCTGAGCTAACATCTGCCAATCCTCCTCTTTTTTTTTTTTGCTGAGGAAGACTAGCCCTGGGCTAACATCCGTGCCCATCTTCCTCTACTTTATATGGGACTCTGCCACAGCTTGACTTAATAAGCGGTGCATCGGTACGCGCCTGGGATCCGAACCGGCGAACCCCTGGCCTCCGAAGCGGAGCGCGTGCACTTGACCGCTTGCGCCACCGGGCCGGCCCCGCTTCTCTTGATATTTTAAAACTTTCATGTCACTGTTTATTGGGGGCAGTGGTGGGAGGGGAGGAGTCCATTAAACAATTAACAGAGAAAAGAAAATCATTCATGACTTTGACCAGGTCCTAAAACGTTGGCATTTGGTGGATTTTAGGTAAAACAATTAATTTTGTGGATGCCTTATCAATCTTGGGATAATACTTACCTAGCATCATTACCTTGAGAGGATTAAACAAGCTGACATATATAAAGCACTAGCATATTAGTTAGTACAGAGTACTTAGTAAATGTTAGTTCTACTGTCGTTGAAAAATAAAAGGGAAATAAAGCATCTGGCTCGTCATTTTCTTTACGCTTTTTTCCTACTCATCATAGTTTTACATGACACAACGTGAAAGCATCAATGTTATCATCAGAAGGTGAGAGCTGAGAGGGAGGTTTAGAGCTTACCTGGCCTTATATCCACATTGGCCAAATGGAAAAAACTAAGCGCCAGAAAGTCCCAGTGACCCAGACAAGATGACTCGAACTAGAATGTGGATTCCCGGGGTCTTCCCATGCAGCATGCGCTCTTCCAGACCCACTAAACATTCTGAATCACTTTACTGTTTCCTTTCAAATGATAAACCATCAAATATGCATTAAACAGTTAATAACAAATCAAAGAGACTCACCCCACTCTGCATCTTCTGAGCCTCCTTTGAAGCTTGATATGATGGTGTCTCAACAAATTCAAGCATGGATTTCCCCTTATTTTTCTCATATTCTTCTTTGTACTTAACCTTCATTGAAAAAAGTATAAAAGGCACATAAAGCTTACAAGTCCTTACACAAATAGAGCAAAGTAAAATAAATATGTCCAAAATTAATCATCCTATCTTCTGGCCATTTCAGTTAATCACTGGGTTCTCTGTGGTTAATGACATAAATGAAAGTAAACAGGTAATATATAAAATTTTTTAAAGAATAAAAATAATTTAGAACTACTAAATAATGTAGTTCTAGGACTTGTATTAAGTATTTAAATAGTAGAGATATATAGATATATATCATATATATGTGGTTATATATGAATATACACACATAGCATACACACACATGTAGGTATATAGAGAGAGAAAAGAGAGAGAGAGAGATCCCTGTGACAGCTTTGAGTGTCTATCAGTAAATAATGAACAAGAAGGAAAACACAGGTGCGATTTTCTATCTTTCTGTCAAAGCGAGGGCTCTGGGGTTCCTGAATTTTTCCACAGATGTTGAGTAAAACACTCACAGAGCTTTCATGTGACTTCTCTCAGTTTCACTATGCATTATTTAATAATATCATATCATGAATTATTTATTTCAAGTCCAATCCTCATCTTATTTCAGTTTATAAAATGATCAATATTTTCTATCTCCTAATAACAAAAACTAAAATTATATGTTAGCAGTCAGAGCAGTCGGCTTTTTTAGCAGTATATCTTTTTAAATTAAATTCATGGAAAAGTTTCGATCAGGATTCATTTCATTCAGAAATGTATTTTCATTAAAATTCTTATGCTCAATAATTATTTATGAAATTAAGTTGTAAATAACTTTAAAGATAGATGCAAAAGAAATTTTTCAATACTTAGAATTTGTGGTGGCAAAAAATATAACGATTTTTAAATTTCTACTTGGCATATTTTTGTTTCAGAGAAGTGCGATAGAGTAATGAATGAAAGTGTTTGAAGTAGAATAACATACTACATTAGGACAAAATTTTGTAGGAAAATGAAATTCAAAGAATTTCAAAAAAACAAAGATTCAAAGAGAAAAAAAAATGTACACTTCCAAATCTTAAAGGAGAGCTGGTTTGTATATTTTTTAAATAAATAAAAGCGAGTATCAAATCACTGTGGAATTTATGTTCCACAGGATACGTTTAAAAGAGTGATGCAAAACTTTATCTTAATAAATGCTGGAAATGACATCTTTTCCAACTATTGAAAATCAGAATGAAAAAAAAATAGATATCAACTTTAAAGTGTTGAAGGAAGAAGACTTTTTTTTAAATTTTTCTCAAGGAGTACACAGAATTTCATAAAGGAAACATTAATCTAGACTACACTGGTAAGATAATTTTCCCTTTTAAATAACACTTATAATTGAACTGAGACATTATAACAAACTTTGCAACTGGAAAATTAATGACACATCGCGCGCGCACTATAAAAACTGAAATCATCAGGAGATTTGATCATCATTTAATTAATTCGTATATCATAAGTTTTAAATTGTGTATAGTAACTGCTATGTTAGGAAACGCCTTTATATTGAAACATGGTTCAAGCTTCCCCGACCCAATAAATATAGAGAGAACAGTGTTTGAGCTTTTCCGAAACAACATCCACTTTCTCAGGATGTACGTTCGTTTCAGGAGGCGCAGGTTCTCGGCGGACAAGTGCTTCCAGGGTCCAGCCAGGGAGGGCGCCTACCTGACTCTGGAGCGTGGCGTTGCCTTTATGGTGCAGGTGTTCCGCAGCGTCCGCGTCAAAATGATACATTCCTTTGTTTTCCTCAAACAGTCTTCTATACTCTCGCTAAAACAGAGACCACGAAAAATAAATTTAGAATAAAAGAGGCTGATGAGAGCAACTAATACTTAGGAATGCAAACTGAAACATACAAGCCAACGAGAGCTGCAAAGCTATCAAGTGCCCATCTGCAGCAGGCTGGTCCTGTAGATTTCTGACACTGAAATAAACCAACGCTGCAAGCTAGACCAGCTCTAGGTGCTCAATGTGAACAGCATATGAAACACTCAAGAGAAGCAGAGGACAATTAGCTGTCAACGCAGTGTAAAAGATACTCAGGACACTGGGGAGTGGACGCGGAAAAGCCTGTGACAAGACGCGCAGGCATAAAAAAGGGGATTTCTCCTGTCCTTATGCTAGAACAGGAATGTGTTTAGCAGCGTCTATAAGAAGAGAAGGAAAGAAAAGAAGAAAAAACAGAGGAAAGGAAAGCTGCAGGCAGGAAAGAAAACAAGCTGTATACAAGGGCCCAGCCAGGAGGAAGACTGGGGGTCATAAGGAAAATGAGAGAGGGAAATAATTCAATTAATTCTCCTAAAAGGAGAGGGCAGGAGGTGACTGGAAGAGAAATTGAGGAATCTGGGTACAGTCAGTTGAGTTTTTAAGGTGAAGAAATTGGATGAAGACTACTATTTAGACACACAGACAAAAAGGTGAAGTTGGGAGAGACCAGAATGGATAAGGATGCCAAATTTGGCAACTGTAGGGCTCTAAATACAATAGCAGCAATAAGACAAAAACTGCTTCATGACTTCTGTCATTGGAGATTGGACACTTAGTTATTTTGCCCTATTTGGAACAGACTTCTAGAGGTAAATGGTAACTCCCAAAGACTCAAGGCCACAGAGACTTAAGCTGAAGTTGGTTGTGCATTCGGTAACAAGGGTGTCAATAAAAACAGTTAATTCTGGTTAGAGTGGAGGGAGAAGTAAGCAGCATTTGAGAGGGAGCTGGAAAGAGCTGGCCATACGAAACTGACATTTGGGTCTTAGCAGATGCTCCAGCCATCTGAGAGTCAAACAGGAATAAGGCCCAGTGCCAGGATGGGAGGGATGGGAGGATGCACATGGTAACTCCTGTTCCATGGGACACAGCAATGGTCCCCAGAGGTGCTTTCAGTCGATTAGAGAGCTAAAATATGTGTCCCCCAAAACTCTAACCAGAATACAGTGAGGGAGAAGAGCACCCACAGGAAGCTCATGAAAATGTTCACATAGGACATTTTGACCAAAGAACACAAAAAGTTCTACATTTTGGCTCCTCTGCTAATTTACAAAAAAAAAAAAAAGATAATATCGAAGGATAACAATATACTTAGAGACTTTATACTTTGACCAGAAGTTATTTTATAATATATATTTATAAAATAATTATGAATTCAATGTAACAAGCTAGGATATATTCCATTACTGAGTTAAAATCCAGAACTAACAAAGCCTAGGATATTATGTCTGGAATAATGAACATGTACTGAGAAAAGGTCATTAAATATTGTACCCACCACAATGATCCGTTTTAGTTACAGAGAATTTCAGAAACTCCTATCTTAAAAAAATCAAAAAACTCTATCTGAATCAAGATCTGCAAAAGAATTTTCAATACTTGCTTTTCCTTATATTATAGTCTCTGTTGCCTCCTAGTGGGAGTTACACAGAGTAACACACAATTTATATTTTTAATTTATGCAGTGATAAAAGAAACAAAGCTACTAAAGCTCTGTTTTTCAGGGGAAAATGTTCCCTCAAAAATTTAATTAGTATGGCTGTACATCGGGCACTAATTTCACTCTACACACTGCACGTTAAAATATTTAAATTATGATTTATACCAGACATTTAGAATTTAGAGGTCTTTAAAAACAGCCATTTATAACAAACTGAGAACTAATTTTGGCAGAATGTCTGTTTATTACGCATTCTCTTATTCAATCTTTCAATAAAATTAAGTTGCCTTTATAAATCAACAAAATTCCAATTCTGTTTACATTAAAATTTAAAAGGTGGCAATTCTGATGTACAATAAATTTGAGCAAATGTATTATTGTACAACTTTGATAAATAGATACTTCAGAGTAACACATTTTTTGAGTCTTAAACGTTCTCTCCCATGAAGTAATCATTCAGCCACTATTTTTCTATGGGAGAAAAAAATCTATAATCTAGGCAAAAGTGCCACCTGAATGAAGGCTTAAACTTTATACATTGTATATAAAATAAATGTAATAGATGACTTTGTTGGTTTTCTCTGTTGAAGAGATGATAGAAACAATTTATATTAAACTATGATTTTTTTCACCATTTTTATAAAATAAAGGTCAATATCTTGAAAAGAAATATTGCCTATGAGTGGCATGCATTCTTCTAGCTACCAGATTCTTAAATTACCACCATGATACATTTATTGGCTTATTTACACAAGAATCCTCATGTTCCTAGGAAATTTAACCCAAGCATAGAGGAGGAATAGTCATGGGCAAATGTCACTGCAATGATCAAAAATGTCACTGCAATGATCAAAATTGGATGCCAAAGACTGAATGTGAAGAAAGCAGCAGGTTCAGGGAATAGAAACATATTGATTTTTAGAAGCATGCCTACAAGTCGTGGAGGAAAACGTGAAACAGAAACAGAGCTGCTCAAGGAACAGAGGAATGTGTGCAGAGGTAAAGGGATGAGCATTGGAACGGCAGGACAGCATGAATTAACTGTTCTGGAACTGAGTCTAATTTTGTGCCACTAGTCCTCTAACCTTCATTCCCTACTCCACAGATGGGAAAGAATGACAGACTGCTTTTCCTCCAGGGACCAGTGATAAAAATTAATTAATAAATTAATTTAAAAAATCCCTGCGAGTATGAATCATTTACGTGCATAATACACTGCAAGAAGGAAGACAGTGGAAAAAGAGGATTACAAAATAACCAACAGAAGTTTCAACAGATCAAAGCCAAGTGTAGACATTTTTAACTCTGAACTGAAGCTGTATCTCATTATTTAATAGTTTGGGGGCCAGGTTTTGGCTATACATTTTTTTAATCCACGACTGTGGGCACATCTCATGAAGGCAACCATTTTCACTTTTTCACATTCCTTGCCCAACATACTTTTCCATCTGATCTGTGCCTGGCACAAAGTGGATATTCAATAAATTTGGATAATTTCAAGTAATTATTAATATAGGCATAGAAATAACTTGAGGTCAAGTTAGAGTTCATCATCACCGTGGGGCAACATGAGATGTAGGAAATGGAGGCACAGGGGAGCTGGTGATCAGTTATGAGAGCCAGCAAAGTCAGGGTCCAGATGTACTGAGTGTTTGAAATAGCATCCAGAGGTGAGTTCTGATGGAATGACCCCTTGGCAGTGTACACAAATATTCTCATCAGCACATGAAGAAATCACCCTCCCCTCCTAGTTGCAGTGAAGAAAAAACCTTCACAAGACTAAAAGTATAGTGTCCATGTAAACACCTTTAGGATTTATTGCCAGAGAAAACACAATTTAGACTAAGACAATTTTTTATGCTACTGAGGCCTATTAAATACCAGACCAGCTGCTCTGGCCTGCATAAAATAAAAGATCCCTGACTTAAGAGCCTGACCTTCAAGTGGCTTCAATAGAATATAGACGAAGAAAGGGGAAGAAAAAGGCAGAAAGAACGCTTGCACAAATACTTTGAAGTGTAGTTGTTCAACAAGAAAGTCTATATGCAAGAGATATTAAAGAGCTAGCAAGAACCCCTTGGTAAAGTGACAGCTTTGGTGGGAATTAAGCAAGCAGACAACTACCTTTCAATGAGTTAGTTATTAAGGGAGGAGTGACAATCAGGCACGCCTAAGGAAGCAGGTGTGTCCAAGAGCACAGCAGCCATACTGGCTCCATGGGGCCACACAACATCCACAGTTGCCATCAAACATGGCACTTACTCCGCTGAGCATTTTGCTGGCTTTCAAAGCATGGTCTAAAAACAAGTCTGGGAGATCTGAAACTGGATCATGCATAGTTTGAATGTCTTTCTTATACTTCACCTATGAAAACAACATGGAACAAAATACCATCTAGGAGAAGAAAATATTATGCTTTTGCATTATGGCCATTATTACGTTTAACACATCATAAAGTCCTCTTTAGTGGCAAATTGTCAGACAAATTTGCGAGTAGCCACTAGATGGTGCTCGTCTACCTCTGAATGAGTAAAAAAAGTGATTGCCAGGGATTTGAAAATATTTTGATAATTCCTTTTATTGTTTATATATTCAGAAAGGGTGATGTTAACAGAATCAAGCAATTTTAACAGAAACGCTGCTTTCAAAAAATAAAGAGAAGAACAACTTTATTATTTAGAAATTACTACCATATTTCAATTATGCTTTTTGGTGGTTTTAGAGCTTTGGGTGTTTTTCATCCTATTGCCATATAGACCTTTTTATTTTTTTTACCAATTGCTTTGGAAATATAATGATATTAGTAATAATAATAAAATTTTAATAATAGAAAACATCGAGGACTTACCGTGTGCCAAACACTTTTCTAAACACTTTATCTGTATTGAGTATTTAATCTCCACAACAACCCTAGTAGGTAGGTACTTTAAGTATCCTCATTTTACAGATGAGGAAACTGAGGCACAGAGAGATGAAAGTGTAATATTAAGAGGTGGAGCAGGATCCAAATTCAGGCAATCTGATTCTAAACCGTGAGAGGTTTCAGCACTATGCTCCACGTTCCTTTAAGTATATTCCAAGTCTATTTGCTTTGCATTTTTATACACAAAAAAATAATCGAATAAGAAAAAGAAATTATTCTGATATTCCCAATGGTCCTAAAAGACAGAAACACCCATTTCAATTGCTGGTGACAAACAAAAGTTGGTTAACAAATAACAATACCTTCTAAACATTAATGAAAGTCAGATATACTAGGTCCCAAGGATATGACAGGAGTTGAAAGGTTGAAATGATCTAATAAAGCAACAGGTCAACCATAGTTAATCTTAATATTTGAAAAGGAACTCTCTAGATGCTTCAACTATAGAAAAATGATTGATTTTTTTTCCATATTTCTGGGTTTTGGTGTGTTTTTTTTTGCTGAGGAAGATTTGCCCTGAGCTAACATCTGTGCCAGTCTTCCCCTACTTTTTGTATGTGGGTCACCACCACAGCGTGGCTGACAAGTGGTGTAGGTCTGCACCAGGGATCCTAACCCACGAACCCAGGCCACCAACGCAGAGTGCGCCGAACTTAACCACTATGCCGTGGGGCCAGCCCCCCATTTCTCTGTTTTTATACTCTGCCTAATTCTAATAAAAATTTAAGGCATGTTGTCTTGTAAATTGAAGCATGATTATTTTTAAAGACATGATATGAAAACAAATCTTATGAAGAAGTATTTCACGGCAATCACATAAGGGATAAGAATAAGAAACTGTGAGCCATTACAAGTACAATTTCTGACAATTTCTTTATGATAAACTACCATGTAAGGGTAGTATGTTACAATAAGCCCAATTTTGTGGGTATAATTACATGAAATAACTATTGTTATAACTACTAATTTATGATACTACATGCTACTTTTCTGCAAATCTCTGTAATCTATTTCTACTCTTGATCAGATATAATGGTTTTATTAGCAATACTATTCTTCCTTATTAACTAATTAGTAATCAGTAACGATTAATAGTAAATTACAATAAAACATTTTTCTCAAAAAAGCTTCAGGAAAATATGCTTCGGTTGTTTTCAACTAAAATTACTTGGAAATTACACAATCTTAATTAAGTAGTAGTAATTACAACACGGCCGATTTTGAGAAAATAAGAATCAAAAGATATAGAAAATAATTTTCTATAGATTATGTCATAAAGCACAAAGTAACTTACATTACTCGCCAGTGCATTGGCAAGCTGACTTTGCCTAAAAGAAGCACTTTCAAGGGGATTGTAATGATGTTTCTTATCCTTCATTTCATTATCAAATTTTTCTTTGTATTTAATCTGCCATAAAAGAAAAAAACAGGATAAATTAAATAACACATTTCCCTTTAAGCTTTCAAAATAACATATTCGACTTTTAATTAGATCGATATAAGCTACCTTAAAAACAAATGGTAGCAAAATTTAAATTCCTGGTATTTTTCCCCATATAAAGCTTAATTAGGCATAAAAAATTTTTTATAAAAAAACAACCTAGACTTGAACATTGATCATAAATGCAATTAGGCATGAACTCAAATCCTATTAACAAGAATTATGTGCTAAAATCTCAGGATTTTTAAATGTCAGTTTCCATTTCTGCCTTCCTATAATCTATGATCAATTAGAAATTGAGACCACAAAGGAATTAAAGTCTACCACATTTAGAAAATGGATCCTAAGCCTCAAACTCGAACATGAATTTTCCTGAGGGAATTATTCCACATACAGAACATGGTTTGTACCATGGTTTTTCTCATCATTTCCCATTTGTTCAAAAATTCATTTTTAGGGATTACATTTTCTGAAATGTCCTGGGTCTATTTAATGTTATTTTTTTCCTCTGCTTTAACTCTGCAGCTGTATTCAGTAGTAAAACTCTAATATTGACTCTGAATTATTTTTCTCTCTTTTGAAGTAGTCTTAGGACAACCAGAGAAAGGATTATCAACTTACCATATAGAACTATATTTTTCTCCATGGATAGAAATATATGTGAATGTATGTTATGTTAACTCATTGGAATATAGATACAAGATCTTTACCCAAAAACAAACAAAAAAAACTAGCTACTCTCATCTCACACCCCCTTTGAGTCCTGTAACCAGGAAAGGATGTACAGATCTCAAAAGCAGAAGTAAACTGTTTTGTTCTCTTATAGTGTTTTTATTACCATTCTTACAATATTTTGTTTTCTTACAACACTCTCATAATGCACCTTTATTCATACATCTTAAAGCTCTGCCATGAATAAGTTTTTATTAAAAAGCAGTTTGGGGATGGCTCACATTATCTAAATTTTAATCAAGTATGTATTGGGTGATGGTCTCCCCCAGGGACACATGTCTGATACCTATGGGAGAGAGCTAGTGAAAATCTTGGTGGAAATGTAGCATTTGGAAAATATCTCAAGAGAGTTTACAGGAAATATTTTCTGTTGTGTTTCCATTTGCCAATAATAACTTTCCGATATTAACGTTGCTTTATAAATTCAAGCAAAATCTCATTTATTCTAATTAACTGGAAAGGCCTCTCTAAAACAAGAAAAACTCTGATTTTTTAAAAAATTATTTTATGTCTACAAATCAGAGACAATATCACCAACGGAATAAACTTAGATCTCCTTCACTACTTTCCACAGTGACTGGCACCAAAGCAGGGGTTTTCCTTACCTGCTTCTCCTCTAAACACAATTCCACCCCACTTTGCACCCTCTACACCCCTCTGCTAGGGCACTTTTCAGGATATTTTAATCTGTGCTTTTGTCTCTCTCTAGGTTTTTGGTGCCTAAAGGGTATTCACTCGACAATGATAGTAGAGTCTCTTAACTGACTTCCACTTGAATGGCACTCCTGACTCAGCCAGATTCGCCAACACTCCCCACTTCACTGAGTAAAACATTCTGACTGATGGCCACGGTGCCCTGAATACTCAGCTGGTAGCTATTTAACTAATCAACTGATCCTGCTATGTAATATGGGTTTGTATGAAGTTTTCTTTCAGTTGTTCCAATTCTCCAACCTCAGGCACCATGAGCGTCTTAGTGATGTATTAGCTAAATGGCAAAAATAGGTTCTATCATCTTTGAACACAGAGAGCCCCTCATCCTATCTTTGCCCACCCTGTAGTTCCCAGCACAATCTCATTAAGAGCAGAGGCAACATGTAGGGGGGTGATGCTTGGAAATTAACCTGACACATCCTCATCTGTTATTAACCTGGCATTTGATCTTCCCAAAGAAAGGCGTATTTCTGAAAAGCAATGATCAATCAACATTGCAATGGTTCCTTTCTTCCTCTATTCATTAAATACTGAGCCTGTGTTGAGTTCCTACCTGACGTTGGGAATGCTGACATGACCAAGACACACTCTGTCAGGAGTGGAGTCAGTAATCTCTCCCAAAGCAAATCTGATTGAATCACACTCACACTTAAAAGTGGTTTAAGAGTATGTCCTGCCCTTACGCCTCCATTAGGTATGTTGTCAACTTGTCAAAAGTCAACTGAGCTTGCCTCCAACCCTGTTTATGCTAGTTGTACTTATTATAATTACATAATTTAATTTAATACTGGGGACACTGACAAATTTACTGTAAAAAGAGAGTTATTATTTCTATGAAAACTATGTTTTTTCTATAAGACTTAATGAACGTAATTTCCTAAAAATAAATTGTTATCAAATTAAGGGTAGTCAAGACAACCAGAAAAGTTGTAGGGGGGAGAATGTAAATAATCTAGAAGATTCTATAACTCATATAAATTAGTAATATATCTTTAAGCAAAATGTCTTTCAAAATGCAAATCATAGACAATGCATTATAAGTATGGTCTGCAAGAAAAACAACACAAAACTCCAAACCAAATATTCATTTGCAAAAAAAAGACGTCACTACATCAAAAGGTTGGTGAATATCACATTGATTGATTGGTAGATATTGAACCATCCTTGCATCCCTGGAATAAATCCCATTTGATCATGGTATATGATCCTTTTAATGCATTGTTGTATTTGATTTGCTAATATTATGTTGAGGATTTCTGCACCTATGTTCATCAGTGATACTGGCCTGTAATTAAATGTACACATATGTGTTTTGTGTTAAAATAAAATGTTAAGGTATGTGTATGACTTTCACGATTCCTCCTTTAACCAATTTTTTAATTTAACTGACTGACTACAGATCTGAATAAAAGGCTTCCACTATACATATATTACAATATATATTAATATATATATGCATGTAGGTATGCCTATGTGCGTGTGTTTATACACATGTGCCCACTAAGTCCCCATCCCTGAGTTAGGCACAGGGGACATACAGGTAAAAAACAAACTCCATCAGATCTAGGTGTTACTGATGATAGTTAAGCATAGAGACAAATTTTGGAATAGCGAGCTGGCTGTAACAACTGAAGGGCATTGAGGCCACTGGAGCCATGTTTTGTGGCAGATCCTCTTCAAGTCTGGGGAACTAAGACAATGCTATTTAAGTTGAGGCATGAAGGGAGTGTGCTTAGCAAGCAGAAGTGGGGAGGAAGAGATGAGTGGTGGAGGTGGTAATAAAAAGTACACCCCCAGAGGAAACAGCATGTGGAAGGCCAGAGAGAGGCACAAACAGCGTGTTCAAGGAATTTAAGAAAACGAGAGTGGCCAGAGAACGGAGACTGAGGGAGAGACTGGACAGCTGGGAACAGTCAGGTCCTGCTGAACCTTCTAGCTCTGTCAGGAATCTTGGTCTTCATCCTAAGCGAATAAGAAGTCATTTTAACCATGTCTGCAACTTGAGCAGATTTGCTTTTGGGAGAGATTACCAACTCCAGTCTTGACAGAGTGTGTCTTGGTCATGTCAGCATTCCCCTCCTCAGGTAGGAACTCTTCCTACCTCATAGCAGGAACTCAACACAGGCTCACTGTTTAATGAGTAGAGGAAGGAAAGAACCATTACAATGTTGATTGGTCATTGCTTTGCAGAAATATACCTTTCCTTGGGAAGAGCAAATGTCAGGTTAATAACAGATGAGAATGTTTCAGGTTAATTTCCAAGTATCATCCCCCTACGTACACGTTGCCTCTGCTCTTAGTGAAACTGTGCTGGGAACTACAGGTGCACAAAGACAGGATGATGGGCTCTCTGTGCTCAGAGATGATAGAACCTATTTTTTCCATTTAGCTAATACATAACTAAGACACTCATGGTTCCTGAAGCTGGAGAATATGAACAACAGAAGGAAACTTGATGCAAGCCAGCATCGCATAGCTGGGCTAATTGGTTAAATTTAAATAATTCAATACAAGCAGCACCCTGGATTTTTTCACCTGCTGTTTTAAAAGACAAATTTATAGTAATACTAACCTATTATTAAAGGCGAGTTTTCCCTGGATATACTAGATTAGACTATTTTCTAAGTTTTGGACATATATGAATTATCTGTGTATATCTGCTGTCCCACAATGGACAGATTTTTACTCTTTTTTGTATCCCTAGTGTCTGGCATTGTGCTTTGATTGGATTTGGCACTTAATATATATTTATTAAAGAAATATACAAATTAACGGTGAAAATGCTAAACAAACAACTCTCTTTTAGGACTCATAGAATGAGTCAAACCCTGAGATAGGTGTTTGAACTATAATACTTCTCTAATTCCCCAAGACCACTCACACACACACAAACACACACCGCAGTCATTGTTAAATTGATTTGAACTATACCCTATTAGCAAGAAAAAAATGTAAAAGGAAATGAAAAACAACAGAAATAAAAATAATATATTGCATCTGTATTGCACTTTATAGCTCCTATCAGACTTTCATTCATTCATTCATTCAGTAAATATTTATTTAATGCATACTCTGTGTCAGTTACTGTGCTGAAGAGTGCTGTACTGAAAAGAATTAGGAATCAGGTGGTAACTGTGTTCAAATACTTGAAAAAAACAGAAAAATAGCATGTGTTCCACTGCGAAAGGTAAAGTTAGTATTGATGGGTAGAAGTAGTAGCCGACAAGATTTCTGCCGATTGTAATGTAAATTTTCTATCAATAGAACCATCTTCTGCTTTCCTACTCAGACTACTGCCTCCTACCTCTCCCAGTGTTCACCTCAAGAATTTCTACAAATCCTACAGGTATTAGCCTAAATGTAACTTCTTTCGGAAAGCCTATGTGACCTCCCAAACTAGAATATTTACTACTGATGTATTTTTGAAGCCCCCCAAATTTACCCAGTCACACTTACCCCACCTCGCTGTAACTATGTGCAAAATTGTCTGTGCTGTGGGTCTTCCCCATTAGACTGTAAGC